CGTCTATCGTCGTCGTCGTCGGTCGTCGACCGTCGTCGTCGTCGTCGTCGTCGTCAATCACCGTCGCCGGTCGTCGTCGCCGATCGTCGATCGCCCTCGAGCCTCCTCCTCTCTCCCCCCCTCCTCCCCTCCACTCCTCCTCCCCGCCTCCTCCTCCTTCTCCTCTTCCTTCTCCTCCTCCTCCTCCTCCTCCTCCTCCTTCCCGCCCTCTCCGTCTCCTCCGCGCGGAAGAAATCCAACAACATCTCGCGCAAATCAACGAACTATGGCCCTCCGGGCCTTTTTGAACGTCCATTTAGGGCCTTTGGGGCCGTCTTAGGGCCCTCTTGGGCGTCGTGGGAACCAGGAAATCATGTTCCCGGAGAGGCTTCTGGGAACATGATTTCGAAAGAGGCCCTCTTGGGCCTCCCTGAGGCCGTGTTGGGAGCCTCCTGGGCCAAATTTGGGGCCTCTTGGGCCGTCTTGGGGGTTCCGTGAGCCTCACAGGACGACCCTTTCGGGCCGTCTTGGGCCCTCTTGGGTCTCTCCTGGGCTGTCTTGGGGTTCGGGGGCGTCTGGGGCACTGTGAGGACCAAGCAAGCAAATATGCTGAAAACGTACGTTGTACAACGGGAATGGGCCGATTTTTGCCTCTTGAAGGCCCTCTTCGGCCAGCTGCAAACCATCTCGGGCCCTCTTGAAGCGCTCTTGGACGTCTTGGGGCCCCCTTTGGGCCTCGCTGAGTCTGTTGGACAGCGTCGCCGCCGTCGGCGTGGCCGTCGTCGTCGTCGCCGTCGATCATCGATCGGCGGCGTCGACTGTTGTCATCGTCGTCGATCGTCATCGGTCGTCGTCGTGGTCGTCGTCGTCGTCGTGAATCACCGTCGCCGGTCGTCGTCTCCGATCGTCGATCGCCCTCGAGCCTCCTCCTCCTCCTCTCTCCCCCCCTCCTCCCCTCCACTCCTCCTCCCCGCCTCGTCCTTCTCCTCTTCCTCTTCCTCCTCCCCCTCCTCCTCCTCCTCCTCCTCCTCCTCCTCCTCCTTCGCCCTCTCCGTCTCCTCCGCGCGGAAGAAATCCAACAACATTTCGCGAAAATCAGCGAACTGTGGCCCTCTGGGAATTTTTGAATGTCATTTTAGACCCTTTGGGGGCCGTCCTGGGGCCCTCTTGGGCGTCCTGGGAACCCGGAAATCATGTTCCCGGAGAAGCTTCTGGGAACATGATTTCGAACGAGGCCCTCTTGGGCCTCCCTAAGGCCGTCTTGGGGGCCTCCTGGGCCGGCTTTGGGACCTTTTGGGCCGTCTTGGACTGTCTTGGGGCTCCTCGGGGGCCACTCTGAGGACGAAGCAAGCGAGTATGCTGAAATTGTACGTTTTACAAGAGGAATGGGTAAAGTTCTGCCTCTTGAAGGCCCTTTGGGGGCCCTCTTCGGCCATCTTCAAGCCATCTCGGGCCCTCTTGGGGCGCTATTGGACGTCTTGGGGCCCTCTGGGGCCTCGATGAGGCTGTCTTGTGTGCCTCTTGGGCTGTCACGCGGGCAGCGTCGCCGCCGTCGGCGTGGCCGTCGTCGTCGCCGTCGATCGTCGATCGGCGGCGTCGACTGTTGTCATCGTCGTCGATCGTCGTCGTCGTCGGTCGTCGACCGTCGTCGATCGTCGTCGTCGTCGTCGTCATCGTCGTCGTCGTCGTCGTCGTCGTCGTCAATCACCGTCGCCGGTCGTCGTCGCCGATCGTCGATCGCCCTCGAGCCTCCTCCTCTCTCCCCCCCTCCTCCCCTCCACTCCTCCTCCCTGCCTCCTCCTCCTTCTCTTTCCTCCTCCTCCTCCTCCTCCTCCTCCTTCGCCCTCTCCGTCTCCTCCGCGCGGAAGAAATCCAACAACATCTCACGCAAATCAACGAACTGTGGCCATCCGGGCCTTTGTGAAGGTCCTTTTAGGGCCCTTTTGGGGCCGTCCTGGGGCCCTCTTGGGCGTCCTAGAAACCCGGAAATCATGTTCCCGGAGAGGCTTCCGGGAACATGATTTCGAACGAGGCCCTCTTGGGCCTTCCTGAGGCCGTCTTGGGGGCCTCCTGGGCCGGCTTTGGGGCCTCTTGGGCCGTCTTGGGGGGGGTCCGTGAGCCTCACAGGACGACCCGTTTGGGCCGTCGTGGGCCCTCTTGGGTCTCTCTTGGGCTGTCTTGGGGCTCGGGGGCGTCTGGGGCACCGTGAGGACCAAGCAAACGAGTATGCTGAAAATGTATGCTTTACGAATGGAAATAGGCTGGTGTTTGCCTCTTGAAGACCCTCTTGGGGCCCTCTTCGGCCATCTTCAAGCCATCTCGGGCCCTCTTGGGGCGCTCTTGAGCGTCTTGGGGCCCTCGTGGGCCTCGCTGAGGCTGTCTTGTGGGTCTCTTGGGCTGTCTTTGGGGCCTCATGGGCCGTCTTGGGCGGGTTCGTGGACCCCACAGGACGCACCACCCCACCCCCGCCCCCGGGCCCCGTCCGTCTGTCCTACTGCTCCTCTCCAAACCCTCGTTTCCTAACCTCCCGATCATGTTCCCGGACCCCCGTCCCTTCCCCCCAGAGCACCGCAGCAGTAGGAAAGCGTTCCGAAACGGTGAGAAATCATGTTCCCGGAAAGCGTTCAAGAATATGAATCGTACGTCGTCCAAGGCGCCTCGGAAGGCGCAGAATACTCCTCCAAGGCGCGGAATCATGTTCCCGGACCGCCTTCCGGGAACATGATGGGGACGACCTCCTGAGGGCCTCCAGTGGGCCTCTTTGGGGCCTCTCGGAGGCCTGTGGGGCTCTCCTGGAGGCGTCTTGGGGCGCGCTCAGGGCCATTTTTGGGCATCTTGGGGGCCTCTGGGGGCCTTCGGGGAGGCTCTTGGGGGCCTCTTTGGGGCCTCTTGGGGCCTCGCGGGGCCCTCTTGGGGACCGCTGGGCTCGCTTAGGCAGTCTTGAAGCCCTGTCGGGGCACTCCTGGAACCGTCTTGGGCGGCTCCTGGGCCATCTTAGGGCTCTCCTGGGCCGTCTTAGGACGATTTTGGGGATCTCTTGGGCCGTCTTGGGGCGGTCTTGGGGGCCTCTTCGGCCGTCTTGGAGCGGTTTTGGGAGACTCTTGGACGGCCTTGGAGCGTCGGAACCCCGAAAAAGCGAGAAGGCCAAAAACCTAGAAAAAAAAACAATAAAAATCATCGATGTTGGCTTGTCGGGGCTCTCTTGGGAGGCCTCTTGGGATGCCTTCGGGGCCTCATGGAGCTCTCTTGGAACGTCTTCGGGCCTTCCTGGCCATTCCTGAGGCTATCTATGCGCGTCTTGGAGCGCTCGCGGGCCGTCTTGGGCGGTCTCGAACTGTTCCTGGCGGTCCCAGGGGCCCTCCGGGACGCTTCGGACGCTCCCGGGGGCGCCCTGCACACCCCATGGAGATGACAGGCACCGCCCCGGGGCCCTACTTCGATATGTATATGTATATATATATATATAATATATATATATATATATATATTATATATATAGATATATGTTGGTAAACAGCAAGAATGGCATAAATCAAAGACATCTACACATCGCATTCGTCTACCATGTACATCAGCAAATACACATCAAAAGCAGAATCATCTATCATATGCATAGCTGGCATACACGAATAACAGACACCACTAGCATACAAAAAAAACGGTATCAGTAATGCACATCCGCGATATGCGTCGATCACAATCATCGCTCATCAAGGCTACGCATCAATCGCCCGCACAGCAATACCACACACACGCACACCACACACAACCAACACTCGCATACATCAAGAGCACACATCAGTGACACAAATGAATGCGAAGCATTAAGACCAAACATCAACGTAATACACCACTAACGCCCACCCTTGCATTCAACAGTAACACAAAGAGGGACTGACAAGCCGACAGGTTATCTAAACCATACAGGAAGAACACGCTAACCCTCGTCAAGAACATACATTTGCGAAGCCCATCAAGCGAGATGTCAGTCACACGTACATCAGGGACGCCCATCAATAACGTACACCAAAACTAACCATCAAGACCAGACAGCAAGGAAGCACAGTATAGCATGCACGCAGAAAACAAATATCATATATGCCAACAAGAAACATCAGGCACACACACACACACGCACACACACACAGAACAATCAGCAGTAACGTATACCCAGAACGCACGCCAATGACATTCACCAAGACTTACCTCGAGCACAGACAGCAACAACAGATTCGAACCAAGTTTCAAGAAAATTCATGAACAACTCGAATCAAGATCAGGCCCCACGCCACAACACACATACATCAACTATATTAATTCGTAGCCGGCATCTGGAACTCAAATCGATGAGGCCGATCTGCATATACGACACAGCAACAAGATCTACCATAACCTACACAATCGCACGACAAGTGCACACACGGCATGAGTAAATATCACACTAACGCACGCATTTCCAACTAATCCGCGTCCACACATAACTCATAGAACAGCGTGCGAACATGCCAAGCACCGATAACAGGTCAAACGACCATACGTAAAACAGTTTGTAACACATAACGCTGTAGTGTCATGCGCGACAGACATCGGAACCATTCGCAGCAGATCCCTGATGGGAATCCCCCGACGCAACACACTTGGTTCCAGGGTGCACAGCAAAGCAGGGCCCGTCTGGACAAGGGGGAGAGGAGGGAGACACGAGGAGCCCAGAGAGGACGGGGCAGGACAACGGGCAGGAGGGCGGAAGAAGAGAACAACAGGGGGGGGGGGGCCCGGCACTCCTTCAGAAGAGAGCAGGGAGGGCCCAAGGCCATCTGACAGGTCGGGCAAGCGGCAAGCAACACTGGAGGCATTGCAGAGACCTGCAGCCCAGACATCCTCAGATGTGCTTTTTCGACCTGGGGCCCCAAGAGAGCTCCCGACCTCTTGCCTAGGGCCGACTTCTCGTCCAGGATCCATCCTTTAGGGCCCTGGGGCCCGATAAGGGGCCCCGCAGGGCGAAATCGAAGAAACACGAAGGGATTGGAAAGAACAGTTCGCCGGAGATCCGGGAACGAGAAGCCGAGGGGCAGAAAGAGAAGAGCACGCGGCACAGTGAGCAGGCCAGAGCTCGCCCTCCCGCTCCCTGGGAATTCGCCACCGAGGACGAGGAGGCGACAACGCGCTCTAGCCCTAACGTCGAGGCAGCGGCCAGACTGGCAGGCAACAGCGGAGAGGATAAGAGGACGGAGTGGTCCCTGAGGGGATCCGTTGGGGGGGGGGGGGCCGGCTCAGGAGGGTGGGGGAACGTCGACCTGGAATCGGCGATACATCGCCGATTGATCCGCAATAGGCCCCCGACAGCGAATCCGACCGCTCCCGGGCGGGGTGGGCCATCAGGCCCACATCGGCGATCAGTGGCGACTGGGGGTCGACACGCTGTTCCTGAGCCGATCCTCCCCTGGCGCTGCCCCAGGCGCTGCCCTCGGGGACGGAGGACGCGCAGGAAGGCTGCACTGTGGGACGCAGCGGTGTGCCTCCTCTCTGCTCCCCTCTGCCCACCCCATCCACGTAGATGCATGCAGCCCACACGGCGGGGCCCTGCAGTGGCGAGGTGGTCCCTGATTGTTGACACCCCTCAGCATTGCACGATCTCACGCTCTCGAAGGCCTTAGAGACTGTCGACCAATGTTGGTTGAAGATGCCGCGCCGCGGGTCACTATCTGTGGGTCCTGGGGCTCGAGGCGGGCCTGCGGAGGGCGTTCAACCTTGAACGCCCGCTCCGGCGTCGCCGCCGCGTCAAGGCAGCACATACCTTGTCGTACTCATCTCCGTCACACTGGGTGAGGGGGCCGAGAGAGGAAAGGGAGGAGGGGGAGATGGAGGGAGGGAGGGAGGGAAGGAGAGAGAGAGGAACGGGAGGGGGAGGGACGGAAGGACAGGAGGAGACAGAGGAGGTGACACCACATCCCCTGATCTCTACACCCGACCTGCCCCATTCTTCCTGCCCCCCTCCCTCCTTCTGCCCCATCCCATCGGCTCCCCCATCCCCACTTCCATCCACCTCCTGCCCTCCTCCACTCGTCCCGCCTCTCCACCTCCCACACACGCCTCTCCTCAAATGGGAAAACCTGGCCACTGGTTTGGGGGACCCCTGTTAACAACCCATACCAGAGTGCCCGCCGAATGGAAAGCACGTGGGAAGGGGGCCTTTGGTGTAACCTGGTATGGCTTGGTAACGATGTCGAGGGTCAAGACTTACCCTCTGATCCGCCCCCTCCAATGACGAACCCAAACGACACACCCGCACCAGACGTCAGCACCCGCAGGCATCCCCAGCAGAGGGGGGGGAAGGCGAGAGTTCGGTGAGCGCGAGATTTCGGTGGCATTCCAAGCTGGCGCTCGAGGCTGGGCCGTTCCCCACAATCCCACCCCTGGTCGCCGCACCAAGTCGGCAAAGCTGCCTCACCCCCCGTGGTGGTCGGGGGCTGTGGTGTCACGTTGGGGTTGTGGCCCAAGAACCTCGACGCCCTGATCTGTTCGATTCGACCAACTCTGGAACTGTCGACACCCCCCCGCCCCCTCTCGCACGGACTCCCTCGGGGTGGGTCGCTTGCCGTCAGCCCCAAGAGGCCCGAAACGGGGACGTCCAGGAGGCCCAAGCTCAGAAAAAGAGGACGTCATGTTTGTCCTCCTTCTCCCTTTCCTCCTGCTCCTCCTGCTCCTCCTCCCCTGCCTCCTCCTCCTCCTCCTCTTCCTCCTCTTCTTCTTCTGCTGATTTTTCGTGTTAGTATTAATCGTATTGCTCGTCTTATTAATCTGGTTATCAATATTATTGGCACTAGGAAGGCGTTTCTTTATGTTCGGCGATGACGGGCGTCATTGGGGGGGGGGAGGGGGGGGGTATGACGTGACGCCCCCCCCCCGCCGTGTGGCTCCGGCACCACAGCCGCGCCCGCGCGCACGACGCGACGAGCGACGAGCGACGAGCGACGACGACGACGACGCAGGCAGCATGTAAGTGGCGATCTGCCCATTGCGCCTGTGTACACCACAACGCTCGCGTGCACCACACCGCGCGTGTGCACCACAGCGCCTGCGTACACCGCAACAGCCGTGTGCAACGCACCGCCCGTGTATACCACAGTGCTTGGGAGCACTACAGCGCCGGTGTACATACACCGCAGCAGCCATGCGCAACACAACGCCTGTGTACACCACAGTGCTTGCGTGCACCGCAGCGCTTGTGCACGCCACAGCGCCTGTCTACACCACAGCATCCGCGTGCAACGCAGCACTGGCGTACACCACGGTGCCTGCGTGCATAGGACAAGTAGAAAGAACATGTACGTCAGGATCTGATGCGGACATCTAAACGCCACGGATAATCGAATGCGACGTTTTTCCCTCCTCCCTCATCCTCCTCCACCTCCTCCTCCTCCTCCTCCTCGTCCTCCCTTTCCTCCTTCTTACCCCCTGTCGTGCGGTTTGGCGTTACAACGCACGTGCGCATCTCAGCGTGCACCGCAGAATGGTCGATTGAATCGGTCCACTTGGTTCTCGGACGGCCAGTTCAGCTGGAGCCTTCTGGACGCATATGGGAGTTAGGGTGATGCGGGCGGACTCGGGGGGACTCGTAGATTCCAGCGGCACTCCTTTGTCCATGAGGATTTGTTTTCCATTGTTTTTTCTGAAATCCAAACGCGTTCCATTTTGTCACAAGGACTCCTTCTGAAATTCTATACACAACAATGGTGCTGAGTTGCACACGGCTGATGTGGTGCACACAGGCGCCGTGGCGTACACAGGCACTGCAATGCACGCAGGCATTGTGGTGTACACTGGTGCTGTGTTGCGCACGGCTGATGTGGTGTACGGAGGCGCTGTGGTGTACACAGGAGCTGCTGTGCCCGCAGGCACGGTGGCACAAACTGACGTTGTGTTGCACGCGGCTGCTGTGGTGTACGTCGGCGGTGTGGTATACACAGGCGCTGTGGTGCACGCGGGCACTGTGATGTACACAGGCGTTGTGGTGCAGATCGCCACCTACATGTTCGTGCTACCCGTCCTCCGTCATTCCTGATTATTCCCAAACGCCGCCGGCGCGAAACGTAACGTCATCGACCCCCTCCCCCCCCACATGATTGCCGTCATCGGCCCGGACTTTAAAACAGGCTCCAGCCGCGTCCGCGCGCACGACGACGATGAGCGACGAGCGACGAACCACGAGCGACGACGACGAACGACGACGACGACGACGACGACGACGACGACGACGACGACGACGACGACGACGACGACGCCTGCGGACAAGACACCTATGCGGATTCCTACGCGGACACCGACGCGGATCCCAATGCGCACGGCGGCAGTGCGGGGATCGCACTGGGAGGGGGGAGCGTTACGTCATAGGGGGGGGGAGCGGGGGCCATGACGCCCGTCATGCCCGAAGCAGCAAAGAAATGGCCTCTAGTTTGTTTAGTATTAATATTCTTCGTATGGTTAGCATTATGTCTTTCTATAATGCTTAACAGTATTACTCTTATTCCTATGAATAGTAGCATGCTCTTCTTGTTTGTTTATGATTATTATTATTAGTTCTCTTACTCTTATTATTCTTAATATCATGATTCTTCTTATTAACAGTAATCGGAGGTGAGGGGGTGAGATCGAAGTGGAACGGAGAGCCCCCCTACCGGGAAATCGGTTTCGGTTTCGTGTTCGTGCGTGCCGTGCGTGCGGGCGAGGGGAAGCTGCGTGGGCGGGCGGAAAGAAAGTCGCCTCCGTCTGAGGCGCGGCCGGACCAAATGATTCCTCTCTGGGGGCCGGTGCCGTGCGGTGTCCCGCCGGTGTCCCGCATCCGGCTGACGCGCGGCCAGACCAAATGATTCCTTTCCGGGGGACGGTGCCGCGCGGTGTCCCGCCTGTGTCCCGCCGGTGTCCCGTCGGTGTCCCGATGATGATGATGATGATGATGATGATGATGATGATGATGATGATGATGTTGATGATGATGATGTTGATGATGTTGACGATGATGATGATAATGATGATGATGATGATGATGATGATGATGATGATGATGAAAATGATGATGATGATGGTGATGGTGATGGTGATGGTGGTGCTGATGATGGTGCCCTGATGATGATTTTGATGATGATGATGATGATGATGTTGCTGCTGATGACGGTGTCCCGATGATGATGATGTTGATGATCCTGATGATGTTGATGATGATGAGATGATGATGATGATGAAATGATGATGAAATGATGATGATGATGATGATGATGATGATGATGGTGTCCCGATGATGATGATAAGGTTGATGATGATGATGACGATGATGATGGTGATGATGGTGGTGTCCCGATGATGATGATGACGTTGATGATGATGATAACGATGATGGTGTCCCGATAATGCTGATGATGTTGATGATGAGGATGATGATGAGCTGATGATGATAATTTTGATGATGGTGGCCCGATGATGGTGATGATGATGATGCTGCTGTTGATGATGATGGTGTCCCGATGATGATGGTGATGATGGTGACGATGATGATAGTGTCCCGATGATGATGATGATGCTGATAATGATGATGGTGTCCCGATGATGACGATGATGAAGACGAGATGATGATATTGAGGATGGTGGTGTTCCGATGATGATGATGATGGTTGCCCAGTGATGATGATGATGATGATGTTGATGATGATGATGATGATGATGATGGTGACGATGATGGTGTCCCGATGATGATGATGATGGTGATGATGATGATGTCGATGATGATGGTGAAGAAGTGATGACGATGATGATGGTGTCCAAATGATGATGATGATGATGCTGATGATGGTGATGACGTTGATGACGACGATGTTGCTGAGGATGATGATGATGATGATGATGTAGATTGTGAGATCGGTTGTGATATCGATGGTCAGATCGATCGTGAGACCGAATGTGAGATCAATTGTGAGATCGATAGTGAGATCGATTGTGAGATCGATTGTGAGATCGATTGTGAGATCGATAATTCGATTGACTGTGAGATCGATCGAACGCAATAGATCGAGTGAGATCAATTGTGAGATCGATCGAGTGAGATCGATCGAGCGAGACCGATAATGAGATCGATAGTGAGATCGATAGTGAGACCGATCGAGTGAGACGTTGGTTCCTCCCCCCCCCCCCCGAACCTCCTCATCACCCGAAGGGTGGTCGTATAGGTATCATTAGTATCGTTATTATTGTTATGTTTCCTCCTCCTCCTGGCGCACAGTCAAAACCCCCAAGTCCGCACATGACGCGGAGGGACGGCGCACGCGTGCGCCGTCCCTCCTCCTCCTGCTCTTCCTCCTCCTCCTCCTCATTCATCATCGCCGTCTCTGCTCAATCCGCCTCCCCCTCTTCCTCCGCCTTCTCCTCTTCCTGGTTCTCCTCCTCCTCCTCCTCATACTCCTCCTCATCCTCATCAGCATCATCCTCATCCTAATCCCCATCCTCTTCCTCATCCTCCTCCTCCTCCTCCTCCTCATCATCATCATCATCATCAGCATCATCATCAACATCATCGTCATCATCATCCTCATCACCATCATCATCATCAGCAGCAGCAGCTGCATCAACATCATCATCATCAGCATCATCAGCAGCATCATCATCAACATCAACATAATCATCGCCATCATCATCATCATCATAATCATCATCATCATCATCATCATCATCATCATCATCATCATCATCATCGTCATCATCATCATGATCATCATCATCATAATCATCATCATCATAATTACCACCATCATCATCAGCAGCAGCAGCTGCATCAACATCATGATCATCAGCATCATCAGCAGCATCATCAACATCAGCAAAATCATCGTCATCATCATCATCAGCAACAGCAGCAGCATCGTCATCATCATCATGACCATCATCATCATCATCATGATCATCATCACCACCACCATCATCATCGTGACAATCAGCATCATCCTCAGCCTCATCCTTATCATCATCATCACCATCACCATCACCATCACCACCATCATCGTCATCATAGTCATCATCATCACGACCATAATCATCAGCATCAGCATCAGCATCAGCATCATCAGCATAATCCTCATCAGCATCGTCACCATCATCATCATCATCATCAGCAGCAGCAGCAGCATTATCCTCTGCCCTCCCTCTTTCCTCCTTCTCTTCCTCGTCGCCCCCACCCCCATCCCCCATCCTTCCCCACCAACCACACGCACACATAACACACACACACAGCACACACACACATACACACACACACACACACACACACACGCACAACATGCACACACACACAGACACACACACAAACACACACACACACAAAAACACATCCACACACACGCATACACACGCACACACACACACACACACACATACACACACATATACACACACACACACACGCATGCACACACGCACACACACGCACACACACGCACAGACACACACACATACACACACACACACACACACACACACAACATGCACACACTTTTGGCGGTCGCGGCCTCGCGCACAGCGACGAGGCGGCAGCCGAGTGACATCACCGCAGCGAGCGGTAGCATGAGGCACAGAATTCCATCCCTCCCCCCACCTCCCTCCCTCTTCCTCCATCCACCCATCCATCCGGAATCCGCCCATCCGTCCATCTGCCCATCTTACTCCTCCTCCTCCCACTCCTCCTCTGAGGGCGAGAGGGACGAGGGCTGGGGAAGGAGCTTGGGATCGCCGCTCGGGGTGCCGGCCCGCGTGCAGGCTCACGCCGAGGTATCCATAGGAGCTGGCGCGTCGCCTGGAGGCGCGTGCACCGCATACACACTGCCGCCGAGAATCCTCCGCGTCATCATAAGCGTGATCATCATCAACAACAATGACAAACACAACTACAAATAATCATCACCATCATCACCACCATCATCATCAGAATCACCTGAATCATCACCACATCAACAACAAGCACAACCACCACAACCATAAAAGATACAAACCAATCATCATCGAAACAGCCACCTCAGAATCATCATCATCACCATCGTCGTCGTCACCACCACAATCATCATACTCATCATCATCAGCAGCAGCAGCATCATATCATCATCAGCATCATCACTATCGTCATCATCATCACAAACAGCATCATCATTAGTATCATCGTCATCGACATCATCACCACCACCATCAGCATCATCACCACCACCACCACCATCATCATCAGTATCATCATCAGTATCATCATCATCAGCAGCATCACCATCATCATCATCGTCATCGAGATCGTCGTCGTCATCCTCATCATCATCAGTAGCAGTTGAATTATAGTTAGCAACATCCCCGTCATAAGCAACATCCTTCAGAGTCATGATCAGTATCAGCATCATACTCAGTATCAGCATCAGCCTCAGTATCAGCATCAGCATCATCGCCATCACCATCATCATCACCATCATCATCGTCATCGACAACGTCATCGTCATCGTCATCGACAACGTCATCGTCATCGCCGTCGTCGTCAGCATCGCCATCCTCATCACCATCATCAGCAGCATCATCATCGTCACCGTCATCAGAAGCAGCATCACCGTCGTCTTTCGCAGCATCATCATCTACGTCGTCATTATCAGATTCATCGTCCAGCGCATCATCACCAACTCCACACTATCATTATCATCATCATCATCAGCATCATCGTCATCTTCGTCGTAATCGTCATCGTCATCGTCATCATCATCGTCATCATCATCAGCATCATCAGCATCATCATCATCTGAATCCTAATCCTCCTCCTCCCACTATAGAACGATTCTCGCCCACCGGCACCGGCACCGGCACCGGCACCGGCACCGGCACCGGCACCGGCACCGGCACCGGCACCGGCACCAGCACCGGCACCGGCACCGGCACCGGCACCGGCACCGGCACCGGCACCGGCACCGGCACCGGCACCGGCACCGGCACCGGCACCGGCACCGGCACCGGCACCTGGCACCGGCACCGGCACCGGCACCGGCACTGGCACCGGCACCAGCGGTTGCGCCGGCACTGGCACGGGCACCGGCACGGGCACCAGCGCCGTCGCCGTCGCCGGCGCCAGCACCGGCACTGGCACCCGCACACGCAATCGCACCGGCACCAGCATTGGCACCGGCACCGGCACCGGCACCGGCGCCGGCGCCAGCACTGGCACCGGATGAAAAACATCATTGACATTGAACATCATGACATTTCCCAAACAGTGCTTGCACTTAGGGGGCCTTCTCTCTTTCCTAGTAGCTGGGTCTGAGGGGCGGTCTGGCGGCTCTCTCCTCGCCGTTGCCGCCCTGTCGCCGCCCGTCGTCTGGGCTTGAGGGGCGGTCTGGTTTTTCCGTCCTTGCCGTCGCCCCCCCTTGCTGCGTCGTCGCCGCCCGTCGTCTTGGCCTGAGGGTCGGTCTGGCGGTTCCTTGCTCGCCGTCACCGTCCCGTCGCCGCCTCCTCGTCGCTGCCCCCTGTGGGCCCCCCCAGCGGTTGCAATCCAATCGGTTGCAAGCCAATCAAGTGCAAACCCAGTGGAATCGATTGCAGTCCAATCAATGGTAAAATTATGCAAACGGAGTTCCCCACATAAAGATATTAACAGTTTCGTGGGACCCATGGGGTACGACAACATCAACACGAAGGAGAAGCTCATCGAGCGAGTAAGTACGCACGAAAGGGCAGACGAAAGAAAGGAGGAGGGAGGACAGGTGCTCAGGAAACGAAGCCTTGTAAATAGTACGGGTTCTTGATGCCCTCTTCGCTCTGGCGGGGCCCCGCTTGAAGGGGGGAGGCCTACGAAACCTGGTAAAGAGTAATGGTGTCCGCGACCCTCCTCGTTCAAGCGAGTCCTCCTCCTCCTCCTCGTCGTCCTGCTCATCCTCGTCCTCCTCATCCTCGGCATCATCATCATCATCATCATCATCATCATCATCATCATCATCATCAGCATCATCATCACCAGCATCATCGTCGTCATCATCAGCATCATCAGCAGCATCGTCGTCACCCCGTCGTCGTCGTCATCATCAGCATCATCGTCATCACCATCAGTATCAACATCATCATCATCATCATCATCATCATCGTCAGCATCATCGGCATCATCATAACCATCATCATCATCATCATCATCATCATCATCATCATCATCATCATCATCATCATCATCATCATCATCATCATCTTCATCATCATCATCACATCATCAGCATCATCATCATCATCATCATCATCATCATCGCCAGCGTCATCGTCATCATCATCGTCATCGCCACCATCGTCATCATCATCATCATCAGCATCGCCATCATCATCACCATCACCGTCCTTGGCATCGTCATCGTCCGCATCATCGTGGACGTCATGATCATCAGCATCATCGTCGTCATCATCATCAACAGCACCAGCAACGTCAGCATCAGCAGCAGCATCGTCATCATCACCAGCATCTGCATCATCATCCTCGTCGTCGTCGCCATCGTTGTCATCATCGTCATCGTCATCATCATCATCGTCATCATCATCAGCATCATCATCATAATCACCGTTATCACCATCGTCATCGTCCATCACCATTATCGCCACTGGCATCGTCATCGTGAACAGCAGAATAACCATCGTCATCACCATCATCATGATGAAGCCTTCCTCATCGCAGAACTCCCCCTCCTCCTCACCCTCCTCAGTGGGAGGAGTAGGACGTGAGATGGATAGGTAATGTTCTCCCCTCCTCCTCACCCATGTCAGTGGGATGGGCACGAAACCATTTAAACCATTTAAATAGTATGGGTTTCCGATACCCTCCTCGCTCAGATGGGGCCTCCCTGGAGAGGTGGTAGGGGCACGAAACCATGTAAATAGCATGGGTTTCCGATACTCTCCTCGCTCAGGCGGGGCCTCCCTGGAGGGGTGGGAGGGGCACGAAACCATGTAAATAGCATGGGTTTCCGATACCCTCCTCGCTCAGGCGGGGCCTCTTTGGAGAGGTGGGAAGGGCACGGAACCATGTAAATAGTATGGGTTTCCGTTACCCTCCTCGCTCAGGCGGGGCCTCCCTGGAGGGATGGAAAGGGCATGAAACCATGTAAATAAGATGGGTTTCCGATACCCTCCTCGCTCAGGCGGGGCCTCCCTGGAGGGGTGGGAGGAGCACGAAACCATGTAATCTTTATTAATTTCCGATGCCCTCCTCGCTCAGGCAGGGCCTCCATGGAGAGGTGGGAAGGGCACGAACCATGTAAATAGTACGGGTTCCCGATACCCTCCTCGCTCAGGCGGGGCCTCCCTGGAGGGGAGGGAGGGGCACGAAACCATGTAAATAGTGGGGGGTTCCGATGCTCAGCCCTCCCTGGAGGGGTGGGAGGGGCACAAAACCATGTAAATAGTATGGGTTTCCGATACCCTCCTCGCTCAGGCGGGGCCTCCCTGGAGGGGTGGGATGCCCTCCTCGCTCAGGCGGGGCCTCCCTGGAGAGGTGGGAAGGGCACGAAACCATGTAAATAGCATGGGTTTCCGTTACCCTCCTCGCTCAGGCGGGGCCTCCCTGGAGGGGCGGGAGGGGCACTGGGAGGCGGGAGGCGGGAAGGAGAAGGAGAGGATGTTCTGGGAAAACAAGAACCCGCACCAGCACCGGCCACCAGCACCAGCACCGGCACCGGCACCGGCCCCGGCACTGGCACCAGCACCGGCTACCGGCCACCGGCACCGGCCACCGGCACCGGCACCGGCACCGGCACCGGCACCGGCACCGGCACCGGCACCGGCACCGGCACCGGCACCGGCACCGGCACCGGCACCGGCACCGGCACCGGCACCGGCACTGGCACCGGCACCGCGCCGGCACCGGCACCGGCACCGGCACCGGCACCGGCACCGGCACCCGCACCAGCACCGGCACCGGCACGGGGGCAAGAATCGTTCATGCCTTCCTCCTCCTACCCCTCCTCTTCTTCCGCCTCCTTCTACTCTTCATCCTGCTCCTCCTCCGAATCTCGTCGGGGGAAGAGTCGGAAGAGCAGCACCAGCAGTGGCAGCAGCAGGATCATGAGCAGGAGGAGCAAGAAGACAAGCAAGGGGTTAGAAGCGGAAGGAAATAAGGAGACGTGCAGGCGGGATCCGGACGAGGAGGACCACGGCGAGGAAGACGACGAGGACGAGGACGATGATCTGTATGAGAACGACGACGATGATGATACTGATGGTCATGATGATGATGCGGCTCATGTTGATAAATACGACACCGACGACGACGACGACGACGACAACGACGACGACGACGGTGGTGGTGATAGTGATGATGGTGATCATGATGTTGCTGATGATGACGACGATGATGATGATGATGCTGATGATGATGCTGTTGATGTTGATGATGATAATGCTTCTGGTGATGTTGATGCTGATGCTCATGATGATGATGATGCTGATGTTGATGATGATGCTGATGGTGATGATGACGAGAATGATGATGATGATGCTGATGATGGTGATGATGATGATGTTGATGACAATGATGATGTTGATGACAATGATGATGATAATGATGGTGATGATGATGGTGATGATGTTACTGATGTTAATGATGTCGATCAGTCATATTCCTCCTCCTCTCTCTCGTCCTTGTCCTCGTCCTCTTCGTCCTCTTCGTCCTCGTCCTCCCTCCTCCTCCTTCTCCTCATCCTTCTCCTCCTCCTCCTCCTCCTCCTCATCATCATCATCATCATCATCATCATCATCATCATCCTCCGCCGCCTCCTCCCCCTCCTCTCCTTCCTCCCCCTCCTCCCCCCCTCCTCCTCCTCCTCCTCCTCCTCGTCCTCCTCTTCCCCTCCTCCTCCTCCTCCTCCTCCTCCTCATCATCATCATCATCCTCTTCTTCTTCGTCCTCCTCCTCCTCATCATCATCAACTCCTTCTCCTTATAAATCACTTCTCCCTGTCGCACCCCGAAGCCAGTTTTTAGGGCGGGCCGGGCGTTTCGCCTGAGACGTCCTCATTACTTATGACCCTGACGCTTAAAATTGGCAACAGCTTCTCAGATGGAGGGCGGGTCGTTTTCAAAATGTGGTTCTGGCCTGAGCGCCGCGCCGCGAAAGTTTCACGGATGGAGGGCGGGTCGTTTTCAAAATGTGGCTCTGGCCTGAGCGCCTCGCACATTCATTTTAGAAAGTTGCAAGAGCTTCACGGATTGAGGGCGCGTCGTTTTCAAAATGTGGCTCTCGCATGGGCGCCGCGCACATTCGTTTTAAAAAATTGCAAGATCTTCACGGATTGGCGGCGGGTCCTTTTCAAAATGTGGCTCTCGCCTGGGCGCCGCGCACATTCGTTTTAAAAATTTGCAAGGGTTTCACGGATTGGGGGCGGGTCCTTTCAAAATGTGGCTCTCGCATGGGCGCCGCGCACATTCGTTTTAAATTAGCCTGACGAAAGACCCAACCATACGTAGTTGTGAATACCGCAGTTGTGGATATATATTCCTCGGTGGCGCCCCCGGGCCACGAAACGAGTGAGGGGTGTGCCGAAATGAGGGGGTGGAACCGCATGCGAGCGCAGCCTCTGGGGCGTTCGGTGGAGCTCCCTATGGGGCCACGAAACGTGTGAGGGGTGTGCCAGAATGGGGGGTGGAACCGCATGCGGGCGCAGCCACTGGGGCCTTCGGTGGAGCTCCCTATGGGGCCACGAAACGTGTGAGGGGTGTGCCAGAATGGGGGGTGGAACCGCATGCGGGCGCAGCCACTGGGGCCTTCGGTGGAGCTCCCTATGGGGCCACGAAACGTGTGAGGGGTGTGCCAGAATGGGGGGTGGAACCGCATGCGGGCGCAGCCACTGGGGCCTTCGGTGGAGCTCCCTATGGGGCCACGAAACGTGTGAGGGGTGTGCCAGAATGGGGGGTGGAACCGCATGCGGGCGCAGCCACTGGGGCCTTCGGTGGAGCTCCCTATGGGGCCACGAAACGTGTGAGGGGTGTGCCAGAATGGGGGGTGGAACCGCATGCGGGCGCAGCCACTGGGGCCTTCGGTGGAGCTCCCTATGGGGCCACGAAACGTGTGAGGGGTGTGCCAGAATGGGGGGTGGAACCGCATGCGGGCGCAGCCACTGGGGCCTTCGGTGGAGCTCCCTATGGGGCCACGAAACGTGTGAGGGGTGTGCCAGAATGGGGGGTGGAACCGCATGCGGGCGCAGCCACTGGGGCCTTCGGTGGAGCTCCCTATGGGGCCACGAAACGTGTGAGGGGTGTGCCAGAATGGGGGGTGGAACCGCATGCGGGCGCAGCCACTGGGGCCTTCGGTGGAGCTCCCTATGGGGCCACGAAACGTGTGAGGGGTGTGCCAGAATGGGGGGTGGAACCGCATGCGGGCGCAGCCACTGGGGCCTTCGGTGGAGCTCCCTATGGGGCCACGAAACGTGTGAGGGGTGTGCCAGAATGGGGGGTGGAACCGCATGCGGGCGCAGCCACTGGGGCCTTCGGTGGAGCTCCCTATGGGGCCACGAAACGTGTGAGGGGTGTGCCAGAATGGGGGGTGGAACCGCATGCGGGCGCAGCCACTGGGGCCTTCGGTGGAGCTCCCTATGGGGCCACGAAACGTGTGAGGGGTGTGCCAGAATGGGGGGTGGAACCGCATGCGGGCGCAGCCACTGGGGCCTTCGGTGGAGCTCCCTATGGGGCCACGAAACGTGTGAGGGGTGTGCCAGAATGGGGGGTGGAACCGCATGGGCGCAGCCACTGCCTTCGGTGGAGCTCCCTATGCCACTGTGAGCCAGAATGGGGGTGGAACCGCATGCGGGCGCAGCCACTGGGGCCTTCGGTGGAGCTCCCTATGGGGCCACGAAACGTGTGAGGGGTGTGCCAGAATGGGGGGTGGAACGCATGCGGGCGCAGCCACTGGGGCCTTCGGTGGAGCTCCCTATGGGGCCACGAAACGTGTGAGGGGTGTGCCAGAATGGGGGGTGGAACCGCATGCGGGCGCAGCCACTGGGGCCTTCGGTGGAGCTCCCTATGGGGCCACGAAGCGTGTGAGGGGTGTGCCAGAATGGGGGGTGGAACCGCATGCGGGCGCAGCCACTGGGGCCTTCGGTGGAGCTCCCTATGGGGCCACGAAACGTGTGAGGGGTGTGCCAGAATGGGGGGTGGAACCGCATGCGGGCGCAGCCACTGGGGCCTTCGGTGGAGCTCCCTATGGGGCCACGAAACGTGTGAGGGGTGTGCCAGAATGGGGGGTGGAACCGCATGCGGGCGCAGCCACTGGGGCCTTCGGTGGAGCTCCCTATGGGGCCACGAAACGTGTGAGGGGTGTGCCAGAATGGGGGGTGGAACCGCATGCGGGCGCAGCCACTGGGGCCTTCGGTGGAGCTCCCTATGGGGCCACGAAACGTGTGAGGGGTGTGCCAGAATGGGGGGTGGAACCGCATGCGGGCGCAGCCACTGGGGCCTTCGGTGGAGCTCCCTATGGGGCCACGAAACGTGTGAGGGGTGTGCCAGAAGGGGGGGTGGAACCGCATGCGGGCGCAGCCACTGGGGCCTTCGGTGGAGCTCCCTATGGGGCCACGAAACGTGTGAGGGGTGTGCCAGAATGGGTGTGGGAGGGGGAGGAGGGAGGAGGAAGGGGAGGAGGAGGAAGGAGGAAGGAGGAAGGAGGAAGGAGGAACGCGGGGACCGTCTCTTCAAAACGAGGACCTAACAACACAGGTTGGTTGGGAAAAATTGCAAGGGTTTCACGGATTGAGGGCGGGTCTTTTTCAAAATGTGGCTCTCGCCGTAGCACCGTGCACATTCTTGAAACAAAATTGCAAAAGTTTCACGGGTTCTCATGATCGACGTACCAAAAAAATGGCGGTTTGGAAGGGTTCCCGATTTTGAGGGCGCAAGAATTACGATGATTCGCGGAGTTGAGGTCCCAGGAATGGCGTTCTGGCACGATTCAAGATCGTCGAGAATCAACAGCCAGGTTCATCCGTGGCGTTGGAATACCGAGCATAATGTTTTGGCATGCTTCAGGGTCTTCAAACGGTTGTATTCCAACGAGGTAGGTCCTTCTGTGGAAATGAACCGTTGTAGGGGCCTATGAAGAGGGAGCTTGGAGGGATGGTTTATTTCAACATCGTTGGTGACTCTTGGGTTTACACTGGTCCTCCTCCTCCTCCTCCCCCTCCATCGGAGTGGGAGTGTGTCTCCCGCTGCCTCTCTCCCTTCACATCTCTCCCCACTTCCCCCTGCCCTCCTCTATCTCTCTCTCTCTCTCTCTCTTTCTCTCTATCTCTTTCTCTCTTTCTATAGTTCTATCTCTCTCTCTCTCTCTTTCTCCACCCATCCATATCGCCATCTCTTATCTCCTCCCTCCCTCTTCTCCCCCCATCTCCCCTCCCCCTCCTCTCCTCCCCCCTCCCACCCGCGCGCGCGGGAGCGCACGCGGGCAGGGGGGTGGGAGGCGGGACGGGGGAGGAAGGAAGGAGCAACACAGGAAAACAGGTCGAGGAGGGAGGAGTGCAGGAGGAAAGAGGTCCCCCTCGCCGCTCGCTCCTCTGAGAGGGAGCAGGCCCCGCAGCGCCGCGTGGCGGGGCCCGCCTCCCTCTGGGGCAGCCGCTGGGGCGTCCTCCATGGGGGTGTCCTCGGGGGGCGGGGAGGACGGAGGGAGGACGGAGGGAGGAGGAGGAGGAGGAGGAGGAGGAGGAGGAGGAGGAGGAAGAGGAGGAGGAGGAGGAGGAGGAGGAGGAGGAGGAGGAGGAGGAGGAGGAGGAGGAGGAGGAGGAGGAGGAGGAGGAGGAGGAGGACAAGCTGGGTGCGCAAGCGTCATATCTGACGTCCCACCCCGCCCTCCCGTCCCTTACCATTGCGTAGATATCCTCTCTACTCGCACAGTCGGATGTCGAACAGGTACACGATGCATGGTATAGCATGGCATAGCATAGCACTGCCTAGAAGAGCACGGCCGCAGCCGATGTCGTCGCGTCGAGAACGCGAATCCTTTCGACAACAAGGTCAGAAGGAAACTAGAAATGACACAGGACGGGAAATGCAAATGCACGGTTTGGAAAGCGGGAAGCGCAAAATGAGACAGGCGCTGCAGAGGGAACACGATTTCGAAGCACCGAAACCGCGGAAATGAGACCAGCGCTGCAGTGGGAGCACGATGTAGAAGAACTGGAAGCGCGGAACCGAAGCCAACACTACAGCAGGAGTACGATTCGGAAGAACTGAAGCAATGAAATGAGGTCAGCGCTGCAGCGGGCACATGATTTGGAAGGACTGAGAACGGGAAAATGGAGCCAACGCTGTAGCAGGAACGCCATTCTGAAAGCACTGAAAGCTCTCGGATTGGAAAAAACACATGTTAGCTGTCAACTCGGCAGCATCCCGTGTAAAAAAACATACGCGGAGGAGGCCAGGACACCTCACTGGCGTCTTCGGGTGAAAGGGGAGAGTAGTATTCAGAAGGAGTAAGGAAGGAGGACACAGATGGAGGACAGAGATGGATGAGACGGAGGAGGGGAGAATGGTGGATGGCCGACGTTGGGGGGGACTACGTACAGCAGGTTCGTGTCGTGCCGACTTCGGCATTGGTTCCTGACACCGCGGGGACCGTTCAACCTTGAACGATCAGCCGTTTCCGACACGTCAGATCGTTCAACATCAACCGACTCTGGATCGCTGGCGGCCTTCAACGTTACACGCCGACGGCGGGGTCGCCGCTGGTCGGCACGACGCGAACCCGCCCTCTTGATCCGCACCTCCTCCGAACCTGCAGCCCGCACGGGCCAGCGCTCCAGCCGGCGATGGGCCGCGCAGCGCCCACGACCCGACACGCGCCCAGCACCCCGTGCGCGAGCGCGGGCGGGCTCGGGGCGCAGCGGCGGCGACCTCGAGCGCGGGCGCAGGACACCCGCGCCGCATGCATGCGGGCAGGGCACGCCGGCATGCCAGCGAGCCTCGAGAAAAGACGTACGCGCCGCCTTCGCCCCGCCTCCACCCGGGAGGGAAGGGCACAAGGGCAGCGACGGCGCGAGGAAATCGCTTCGGACTCGAAGCGGGTGGGCCCCCCTTGTGAGGCCCTACGCTCGGAAGGCCCCCCCACCCCAGGACCAGATCTTCGTCCAGAGTCGTGTTCTGACAGCCCCGTGGCCCGTGGGGGGGCCCACGGCGAGGCCAAGAGCGGCGAAAAACCTTCGGGCACTGCGCGCCGTGAAGCCCAGGCCCACCAGCGGTGGCACTTGCCCGGACTGCGGGACAGTCCCGACGGTCCGACGGCGGTGGTTTCCGCCTGCCGGGCCCAGCGGCCTGCACCGGCTGCGGCACCGCGCCGGCTGCGGCACAAAGTGAAGCGTTCCTCGCTGCAGCGCTCCGAGAACGGCGCACGTACATCGCACCACGTGTGCCCTCCCTCCAGGCCCCGTGACTAAAGGGTACGCCACATAGCTCCGCCCCTTCTGGGACCGAAAAGCCATGCACCGTACCATTCCTGGGTGGAACGCCGACGACGCCTCGGGAGACGCCAACGCGGTGACCTCGGCGTGTGGTTACCACAGAACACACCAGGCGTGTGGTTGAAAAACAATCCCAAACATCCGGCGTCTAGATTTGTCCGACACACGACCCCCCGACCTCTCGACCACTTCCCCTGGACTGTTTTTCGCCCCGAGTCGTTTTTGGGACGGTCCCGAGGCCCGGTAAGGGCCCCGAGAGGCCGAACCATGAAAGAACGCCGTATCGATTATCTCGGGGCACGCTGCGGCGGGGCGCAGGTTTCCTGGGGCGCTATTACAGCCGCAATTGCGATCAGAACCGGCAACCGGCCAGAATAATGCCAACAGACGCGACGCCAGCAGCTCCGCTACGGCTGGCAGGCGGGGCCAACCCGGCTACATACGGAAAGGGGAGGAGGGGGGAAGAGCGGCAGAGGTAGGCGGCAAAGGCTCCTCTTTCATCTCCTACCCCTATCCTCCCCCCATCCACCACAATGTCCTTGCGAGCACCGCAAGAGCCTGCCAGGGCGAAGATAATCTTCGAAGCAAAGATGCACGGTACTCATGTGAATTCTATGCGGTAAAAACTGATCCGTGCAGCCGCAAGCGCAGGCAATGTTCAGTGTGCACCTCGCTCAGCTCCTCTTAACAAAAATCCGATGTCTTGTTTTCAATACGGGGTCCTCGGAACTCCCGACCTCTTCCCTGGGGTCGGTTCTTCGTCCTAAGCCTATGTTTGACGGTCCCGGGACCCAGCGAGGGCCCCCAGAGACCGAAAATGACGAAAGACCTCCGTCCTGGCATTTTTCAAACCTTGGAGGTCTGGGCTCGGAGATCGCTCGGCCGCAAGTGCGGCGGGCATCCTCCGGGACCACCAGCGGCACGGCAGCCGAGGGGCGGCCTGCGCGTGCGAGCAGGCACCGCCTGGGCCCACAGCACGTGCAGGACCACGGCGGCGGCACGGCCCTGCGCGGTGAGGTACAGCGCGGGCTGGCCGGGCCCCCCGGCCCACGTCCAGCCGCCACGCCCCTGGCCGTGCGCCGTGGCCGCGAGCGACTGTTGGAGGCCTCCCAGACACAGGTATCCGGCGTCTGGAAAAGACCGAGGCGGAAATTTGATGCAATTGTCGGACTCTTGGGGCACTTACCGGGCCTCGGGACCGTCAAAAGACGACCCGGGACAAAAAACCGGTCCAGGGGACGTCGGCGCGGAGAAAATGGGGCTCCACATCGGGCGGCATCGCCGATGCATCGGTGCCGCGGCGCCATCCTCCGACTACATCTACTCCGACCGCATCTGGGAGGCCCAGGAATGAGCTCACGAGCGCGACTACGTCGGGGGCGCCCAGGTAGATGTCCAAGAAAACCCAGCGGCGTGGTTGGGCAAAGCTCATATCGAGCCGATAATGACCATGACGAGGAGGGTGACACGCACCCCCTGCATACCCCCTGTGATGGTGAGGGAATGTCACGCCTGCCACGCCCTCCGAGCATGGTGTGGATAGAGGCCGCACCCTCTGCGCACCCCCTTTACGGTGACACGGAAATGCAACGCCTGCCACGCCCAGCCAGCCCAGGACGGTTAGAGGTCGCACCCGTATCGCCCTGCGAACCTGGGATGGATAGAGACCGCACCCCCTGCGCACTCCCTCACGCCTGCCACTCCCTGCGAACCTGGGGCGGATGGAGACCGCACCCTCTGCGCTGGTGGTGGGGAAGTCCCACGCCTGCCACTCCCTGGGAAGCTAATACGGATAGAGATCGCACCCCCTGCGCACCCCCTCTGCTGGCGAGGAAATTGCACGCCTGCCACGATCCGCTAGCCTGGGACGGATAAAGGCCGCAGCCCCTGCGAACCCCCTCTGGTGGCTAGGACATTGCACGCATGCTACGCCCTGCAAGGCTGGGACGGGGTGCGCACATGCGTGCGATATGTGTATATGTATGAATATGCGTATGTGTGCTCATCATGTGGGTGACTGTGTCTGTATACGCGCGTGTGTGTGTGTGTGTGTGTGTCTGTGTGTCTGTGTATGTTGTGCGTGTTGTGTGGTGTATGTGTGCGTGTGCGTGCGTGTGTGTGTTGTGTGCTATGTTGTGTTATGTGTGCTGCGTGTGTGTCGTGTGTGTGTCGTATGTGTATATTGTGTGTTGTGTGCTGTCTGTTGTGTGAGTGCTTTGTGTTGTGTGTTGTATGTGTTGTGTATGTCGGTGTGTGTTGTGTGTGTGATATGTCTGTGTGTGTTTTTGTGTGGTGCGTTGTGCACGTGTGAGTGTTGTGTGTGTGTCGTGTGTCGTGTGTCGTGTGTTGTGTGTTGTGTATTGTGTGTTGTGTGTTGTGTGTTGTGTTGTGTGGTATGTGGCGTGTGCGTGTGTGTGTGTGTCCGTGTGTGTGTGTGTCTGTGTCTATGTCTGTGTCTGTGTCTGTGTCTGTGTCTGCATGGTGTGCATGTGTGCGTGCGTCTCTGTCTGTATATGTGTGTGTCTGGTGTCTGGTGTGCGCGTGCTGTGTGCGTGTGTGTGTGTGCAGGTGAGAGGGGGAAAGAAGAGGAGGAGGAGGAGGACAGGAGGAGATGCTGGTGCGACGCGAGGGAGCGAACGAGGGGAGGCGGGAGACGCGGATGCGACTCTGGTGGAAAGAAGACCAGAACCGCACTCAGCATGTGGGTAATCATACTGATCATCGTCATCTCCACCACCACATTAGAAGACCCATACTCATAATACTAGCAAGCGATTACACACAGCAAAACAAATCGTTATCGTCATCATCAGCATCACCATCATCATCAGCCTCATCATCATGATCACCATCATCATCAGCAGCATCATCATCCTCATCGTCATCATCATCACCAGCATCAGCATCATCATCATCCTCATCATTCTCAGCATCATCATCAGCATCATCACCACCATCGTCATCGTCAGTATCACTATCATCAGATAATCATCCTCCTTGTAGTCATCATCCTTATCGTCATCACCGTCGTCGGCAGCGCCAGTATCATCATCATCGTCATCATCAACAGCATAATCATTATCATCAGTATCACCATCATCATCGACATCATAACATTCATCATCATCATCATCATCATCATCAGCATCATCATCACCATCATCAACATCATGATAATAACAAGCGTCATCGTCACCATCAACATCGTCAACATCATCAACAAGACCCCTGCCCCTCATCCATCAACCTCGTCGCGTATGGCCACCTCCCCGCCCAGTCCTTCTTCTCCAGGCCGTCGATGAACTTCTGAAGATCCTGGCGCCGCACAGTTGGATACATCATACGTCATCTGAAATAGAGAAATGCAACGGGAATCGCTAAGCCGGGGGCGATAGCCTTCGGAGGCGCACAGATGCACACGCAAATCCATGAGCGCTCACTGGCGTGGACATTCGCCCGAAGGCGTCAAAGTGCTCACAAGCGTTCCACGGGCGCTCAAAGGCACCCACGCGCGCTCGCGGGCGCACCCTGTGGGGAGCAGCAGGGCACGAGGGGGTGGAAACGATCTGAAACAATGGGTCGGCCCAGAGTTCATTTGAGAGCAAATCTTAGCACAGTGCAAGGGGAGTGGCAAATGTCTAAACGTTTGCTGACATTCCTCGGAGATGGTGCGCTGACAATTGCGTGCTATCGTTCTCTTTTCGTCTCTCCTCGTCCTCCCGCGCCCGACGTCTCAGCCGATGTCGAGGCCCGCTGCGGGAGCGTAACCCCCTGTCGTCATCAAAATGCGCACCCCTGCTTGGGCTGTGGACACTGGGAAATATCTCCCGAACCATCATCATCGTCACCATCACAATCACCTAACCATCACCACGATCATCGTCATCGGCAGCAGCATCGTCGCCACCGCCGTCATCATCGTCTGCCTCATCAGACTAGTATCAGCAGCATCAGCATCATCATCAGCATCACCATCATCAGCATCCTTATCAGCATCATCATCATCAACAGCATCATCAGCAGCAGCATCATCAGCAGCAGCATCAACATCATCATCATCATCATCATCATCAGCATCATCATCATCGTCATCATCATCATCACCATCATCATCATCAGCAGCAACATCAGCATTATCATCAGCGTCAGCATCAGCATCAGCATCGTCATCATCATTATGGTCAGCAGCAGCATCATCATCAGCGTCAGCATCAGCATCATCATCATCACCACCATCACCATCATCATGATCATCGTAACACGAAACATCATCATCAGCAGCAGCAGCATCATCAGCAGCATCAGCATCAACATCAGCACCATCAGCATCTTCATCATCATCAGCCTCAGCATCAGCATCAGCATCAGCATCAGCATCATCCGCATCATCATCAGTATCAGCATCAGCATCAGCATCAACATAGTCAGCATCATCATCACCATCACCACCATCATCGTCATCATCACCATCAGCATCATCGGCATCACCGTTACCAGCATCATCATCATCATCATCATCATCATCATCATCATCATCATCATCATCATCATCATCATCATCACCAACCGCATCCTCGTCATCAGCAGCATCATCATTAGTATCACCATCATCATCATCACCATCACTGTCATCAGCAACAGGATCATCATCATTATCATCATCAGAACCATAGTCATCAGTACCCTCGTAATCCACATCATCATCATCACCCTCGCATCAATTATCATCATCCGCCCAATCGTCATTCTCTTCATCATTCTCGTCCTCGCCCTCCGAATCATCAGCATGATCCTCATCACGCTCATGTTCATGATCATCCTCATCATGGTCAATATCACGCTCATCGACATACTCAGCAGTAGAACCGTCATCAACATGTCCCCCATCATTGTCGTCGTTACCGTCATCATCATCGGCATAACCAGTGTCATCGTGATTGTCATTATGGTCCTCCTCGTTTTCCTTCCCTTCCCCGCGCTGTCCTCTGCAATCGATCTCTCAACGTGTAGACCCAAGCAGGCTGAGCATGGGCGCATTATGCCTGGGTGCCAGAGGCGGCGTGGAAGCAAGAGCAGGGTCCTCGTCCTTGACCTCCCGGTAAGGCTCGCCGACGCCGATGACGCACAGCCCGACGTTCTGAGCACCGATTCTGATCTGCCGTAATCGCTCCCCGTCGGCCCTCCTCTTCCAGCTCCTCCTCCTCCTCCTCCTCCTCCTCCTCCTCTCCTCCTCCTCCTCCTCCTCCTCCTCCTCCTCCTCCTCCTCCTCCTCCTCCTCCTCCTCCTCACCCTCCTCCTCCTCCCTCCTCCTCCTCCTCCTCCTCCTCCTCCTCCTCCTCCTCCTCCTCCTCCCTCCCCTCCTCCTCCTCTCCTCCTCCTCCTCCTCCTCCTCCTCCTCCTCCTCCTCCTCCTCCTCCTCCTCCTCCTCCTCCTCCTCCTCCTCCTCCTCCTCCTCCTCCTCCTCCTCCTCCTCCTCCTCCTCCTCCTCCTCCTCCTCCTCCTCCTCCTCCTCCCCTCCCCTCTCATCAAGAGAAAGAGAAAGCTGCATAAGCATAAACTTTCGGCGGGCTGGAACTCCGTGGCCGCGCCTGAAATGACGCCCCTGGCGCGCTTCGTGCGCCAGGGAGGGAGATCAGGCGAAGGCCCAAGACATCCGCGCGGACCTCCAGAAGTTCGGGGAGACGGCAGACCAAGAAGTCGTCCGTGCCGTGCCAAACCTGGTGCTGGCAAGACCCAGTCGCACTCCGAGCCGTCTGGGGTGGTCAGCGCCAGGGCCGGGGCCGAGCCGGACCACTGGGCCTGGTCAGGGGGGGACCCGTGGCCACGGGCAAGGCCGAGGCCAAGGCCGCCAGCCCAGGCCAAGCCGGGCTGGGCCAGGCCCCTTCCCGGTGCGGCGGCCCTCGTTCTTGGAGCCTGTGCGGAACACGATCAAGATCGGGGGCATCCTGGAGATACAAGAAATCATGAAACCTGTCATTGCCACGACTTCCTGCTGATCTGATTGTGGGCTCCACCGAGGCTCACAGCATTCGGCCGTCTTTGTAACTCTTGCCGGGACGCCCGAGGCCTGGGTCATGCTCCTCAAGAGGAAAACAAGCGCATGGCCCCGCGGCGGAGCTGCCAGGAGGGCCTGATGCCGCGCACTTCTTGGACCCGTCTTCCAAGACCTTTCCGAGGAATCCCAGACTTGTGAGTCTGCAACCCGTGCCCAATCGTCGCGCTCGGCGATTGCCTGCAGATGCTGCCCGGTATCGCCCATCCAGCGAGGGACTTCAGCACTCGCCCAACCCAGGGCCGTGACTCCAGGATTCCAGTGTGCTGCCTGGCATCGTCCTGCAGGACTAGGGGAAGGGGGGGGGCGAGGAAAGGAGGAACTTGTCTCTTGCCATCGGCGCAAAGCTCCACATTCCCAGAGGGGGAAGGGGGCCAGAAAGGACCCGATACCGCGCCTCCCCAGGACCCCGAGGCGCGCTCTGGCCAGGACCCCGAGGCGAGCCCCGCCGTAGCGGCGAGGGCGCGCCCCAGGGAGAACCCCGGGGGGGGGGGGCGAAACCACTCGAGCGGCACCCGACGTCGGTGCAGCAGATTCGCGTCGCGATGACGTCGGCGTTGGCCTGTGACCCCCCGTGGATCGTTCAGCCTTGGACGAGCACGGCTCCCCGACAGGGGCAGATCGCTCGCCATCGGCCGACTCTGAGCCACTGGCGACGCTCGACCTGGAACGCCCGCACTAGGGCCGCTGCCGCGGCAACGCGGCGCGAACCTACCGCACACCTTCGCCCCGCCTCTCGCCATCGCTCGGACGTCCATTCCCCGTGCACGTTTCGGTGTCGCGCGTGTTTCTTCCGTTGCGCAAGATGATCCAAGAGATGTTTCTCGACTGTCCTCGCCGAAGGAAAAAGGTGCACACGTCCGCGCGACGCCGAGTCCCGAGGTTCTGGCCAGCGAGGCGAGGCTCCACATCCTCAAGGGGTTCGCCACCTCCTCCAGGAGCCCAGAGCCCCCCAGAGGACCCCACGGGCACCCAGGACACCTCGACCCTGCCGCCTCCTCGACCATCGACCTCCACGAGGATGTGGTGACACCCCTGAAATGTCCTTGTCATCCGCCGACCTGATTTTTGCAAACAGCGGTCCCAAGAGTCCCGACAGCTTCCCTGAAGGTAGTCTGTCGTCCGGGATCCGTTTTTGATTCTCCCGGGGCCCGAAAAAGACCCCCGATGCCCGAAATCAAACCGCTGGCTGAAAAAGTCATGTCGTCGGAGACCTGGGGTGGCGACCCCCCTTGACACTGCCCGACGCACGCGCTCCGCGACGACACCGACACCGACAGCGACAGCGATTGGAGGCCTCGAAATGGGCACCAACACCAGCACAGGGGATTGCCCCCACCGAGGGGAACATGATCCTAGATTTCGGCGTTGGTACCAATAGTTTGGCCACCCAGGAAGCCTGAATAATACCACCATCACCGCAATCGGGAGCATCTTCCCTCGGTGGAGGCACACCGCCGATATTGGGATTGGTGCTAACCTCTGGGCCTCCAAACCGACCCCGCGATCGACACTGCCCGACGCACGCGCTCCGCAAAATCACCGCCGCCAGCGCGCTGCGACGCAGCCACGCGCGCTGGCCGCCGTTGCCCGCGCAGCCCCGCGGCGCCCACCAGGGCGCCCCCAGCGCCCCGAAGCGGCCTGCTGTACCGGGCCGCGCCGGGCGCGAGTGAGCTGCGCAGGCAGACGTTAGGAGTCGAAGAGTTGTACAGGTCTGCCTCTTTCCCCAGATCTCCGGCGATGCGAGATTTTTCCCTGAACAGCTGGCCGTAAGGGCTAGATCACTTGCTCTGCAGGTCTAGCATGTGGACTGCCGGATCTGGACTCGGTCGGGCGTCGTGGCCTCCGGTGGCCTGGCGGGAACGCACGTGGTCACAGCCACTGAGGCTTTCGGTGGCGCTCCCTACGTATGGGGCCACGAAAAGCGTCGTGCCGATAAGGACGGCGGAGATGCATGTGGTCACAGCCGCTGAGGCCTGCGGTGGAGCTCCCTATGGGGCCACGAAACGTGTGAGGGGTGTGCCGATATGGGTCGCGGTAACGCATGTGGTCACAGCCACTGGGGCCTTCTGTGAAGCTCCTGATGGGGCCACGAAACGATGTACTTGGTGCGCTGAAGTAATGGACATGCGCAGGGCTGAGGCAGGGAGGGATGGGCGAGGAGGAAGAGGAGGAACGCGGGGCGCTGCCTCTTCAAAACGAAGACCCCACACCACATGATGGCTGGGAAAAAAGCTGGGGAAGCGGTCGGGACCTTTGGGACAGCGAATTGAAAACAATATCGGCGGATGCCTGGGTCCTCCTCCCTCCCCCCTCCTCCTCTGACATCCCCCCTCTTTTCTGGGGGCGAGAGGCGAAGGGGTGAGGCGGACCTGTACTGCTATCCTCGACAAAACTAACCTCAAAAATGTGCCACGCAGTTTCCTTGTCGTGCGCGCAGTGTACTGGTTAGCGCCCCTTCTCCAACGTCGGTCATCGTGGAACATCCGAGTCACACCGGCCCACACCGCGCTTCGCTCTGCTTCGACACTGAAGGGGGCGACACTGAATAGGCGAAAGGAGGCGACATTGAAGTGGCGCGTCAACCATTATTGAGGTTAGTCTTGTCGAGGGCTGTCTGTCGACCTCCTTGCGAGAAAGCGCAGTCGGCCGGTCGCGGCGAACTTCGCAGTTAGAAACACTACTTCAGAGAAACAAGGAACGGCAGAAACACAAACGCTCGGAGCTCCGCGCGGACCTCCTGGATCTGCGCTGGACCCCCCTCCTCTGCCGCGCGGAGCGCGCCAGAGGCGCCGCCAGGGGGGTCCAGCGCAGGTCCAAGAAATCCCCGCGGAGCTCCGAAAGTTCACGGTTGTGCCATCTTTTCTTGAGTATGCCTGAGGGGCCAGGTCTAGGGCGCTCGGCAGGCGTGCCAAGTTGTTTTTCAATCTGCAATGTCTGCGCCGACACCTCCAAAGTTGCACCGACGACCAGGAAATGGAGTTGTCGGGTTCCTGCGCGCAGCTCGATAGAAAGGCAGGGGACCTGGCCCAGGGACACACTCAAGTCTTTTCTTCTTGGATATTTGACGGCGGCGAGCTGCGCCACTGCACCGGCCCGGCGAGGAGCTCCCCCGTTCTCCCCTCTCTGCGCTCGTCCTCCGCGCCTCACTGGGCAGGCCCGCGATCGGACGCCAAGAATACACATCACCACCACCTTCGCCCCCCTCCCCTTGTCCAGCCTCCTCCTCCTCACATCTCTTTAATGGGAGAGGGAGGGGGTGAGGGAGGTGGTGGTGGTGGTTGTGTATATCTTGGGCACCGTAAGCGAATCGTCCCGACTAGAATCAAGATCGGATCACCGTGCCCAGCTCCAGCTGGCACCAGCCGACGCTGGCGGATCGGACCAGATCCGAATCGCGGGCCCAGCCAACGAATCAAATCGCATCGAATCCGCTCGCAGGCAGTCGTGCCTGGCCACCGGCTTCGGAGGAGGAGGAAGTTCAGAAGAACAGTGGCAACTAAATGCTACAGTGGTGCGCGCCCTTTCAGTGCCGATCAGATGTCGTTGATGTTGACCCCAGCAGACTCGTCAAACTCCACGCCATCCTCGCTGAGCTCGTCCACTATGTCCGTCTCATTGATCTTGACGGTGTCTGGCAATTCGCCGTACGTCTTCAAGTTACGAGCCTCGTCGGGCGTGTACCTGACGATGATGTCGCCCTTCTCGTCCTGGAAATCTCGCAAGGATACCAGCACAATGTCGCCCTGGTTGACCCAAACTTTCTTTCGCATCTTGCCTCGAATGTGACACAGGCGCTTGGTGCCGTCGAAGCAGCTCACCTCGCAACGGCCGTTGCCCAGCATGCGCAATATCTGTCCATACTCCTGGCCGTCCTCCTTGAACTCGAGTTCCTTCTTCACCTTCTGCGCATCAGCCTTGGCGCGCTTGGCTTTGTTACCTCCAAGCTTGTTCTTGGGCATCGCTGCGACCCAGGACAGTCGGCGAGTGGGCCGCTGGCGAATGTAGCGTCCCTGCCAACTTCGGCCAAAAGTAAATGAGCGAAAACGGATTCGGATGATGACAAGGATGAGATTACGACGAGGACGAGGATGAAGACGATGGCATCCCCCCGTCGGGCACAACAGATCGACACCTGCAAGATGGACATGACAGAAGCCACTCTGCAATCACATGAGCATCATCCACCACGAGCATCACACGATTCGGGGTAGTCATGTCCAGGCAGTGGAACGAGAGGCCTCCTAGATCGGGCCCGAGTATGTGGGGTCGGAGGATTGCGCAGCATGCCGATGCATCGGCGCCGTCGGCATGGATGAAATCGGGATCCACATAGGCCCGCATCGTCGATGCATCGGCGATGCGGCGCGAGCCTCTGGCCCCACCCGCTCGGACCCCATCTGGGAGGCCTGGAAGGACGTGATCATTGAGAAGACCAGGAGCTACCGATACCGCTACTCCGTGGACTCTGACCAGGATTTGTTCAAGCGAATCCAGGCATGGCGACGAGGACCTTCCAGGAGGCTCAGAAAGCGAAAACGAGACAAGGGCAGGATCAGCCAGCATCGAATCGGGAAATCAGATCGCATCGGAATCTAAGTCGGATCGGGCCGCAACGGCACAGAGTCGGAATCGAATCGGCTCGGCTGCGCCAGCATGCACAACGGCGCCATGCAGCCATAGGGCCGCATCGGATCGCAGGGATATCGAAACCGAATCGGATCGAGCCGGGTGTGCTCGACACCAAGCCTGAGAGATGACGACGTCCGAACCCTACCCCCACTGACCATCGATTCTCTTGAATCGAGGGGAGGCGGGGGTAGGGTTCGGATTTCTCCACGGGTTCGACGAATTCCGAACCCTACCCACGCCGCCCATCCAGTTGCCCGAATCGTTGATCGGCGAGGGTGGGGTTCGGATCTCGCCGCCGATCGCATCGATCGAATCGAAATGGGCCCTGCAAAGGCAGCGGCATCGGTACCGGCACCTCTTCCTTCAACTACACGCAGGAGTAACCCTGGGCAAGAGTGACCTTTGGTGCGCGGCTTTTTGGGAGCCGCGGGGGGGCCAAACACAAGCGCGCGAAGGGTCACTCTGACGTGTAGTCGATATCTGGTGTAAGGGAGGGGAGGTGACGGCCGATGCAGCCGAACCTTTTCGCTTTGAGCAGCCCCACGCATGCCCGCGCGCACCACTTCTGCGTACCCCTTCGGACCTGCGCGACCGACGAGGTCATGCTACCCAGAGGAGAGGGGAGGGGCAGAAGGACCCGATACCCTGGATGATCGCTGAATCCTTAAAAAAATGTACATATATATATATATAATATATAGATACACACATACACAAGACTGCATTGGCGCTTCGCGCCATGCACCTTGGTCCTTGAAGTTTGGTGTGCAGGCGGAATAGCAGGAGATTCAAACCGAAAATTTAGCGATAACTCCTTGTTGCCTTTTCCGGCATCGCCGCTATAATTCGCCGGCCCAACGTGCCAGAGGCGTGCTACGATCTCCGGTAACTGGTTCACAATATTTCTAGTTCGCGCGCGCGAGGCGGCCCCTGGGGGTCCCCGGACGAAAAGTACCCCGGCAAGGTCCTGGGCAGGTCCCAGGCGGTCCGACCCAGAGATGATTTTCCTCCTGGGCGCCGCCCTCGAGGCCCTCCAGAGAGCCCCAAGAAGGGCCGCGAGGCCGCCAAGAGCCCCCCAAGATGGTTCAAGAGTGCTCCGAGATGCCACACGCTCGCTTCAAGACGCCCAAGACGGCTCCCAAGAGGCGTCCCAAGACGGCCCCAAGAGGCAAAAATCGTCCGACTCTCTAAGCAAAACGTATATTTCTAGCAGATTCGCCATTTAAGCTTTCACAACCTCAACAGCAGCCCAAGAGGCACCCAAGATCCCCAACACGGCCCAAGAGGCCCCAAAGAGGGCCCAAAAACCGCCCCAGAGGGCCCCAAGACCGCCCAAGAGGCCTCCAAGACAGCCCAAGAGCCACCCAAGACGGCTCCAAGAGGGGGTCCACACGGGAGACCCGCACGGATAATTCGAGCCCTCGGCCCCGAGAGGCCCCCAGGAGCGCCCAAGAGGCCCCCGAAAGGCTCCCAAGAGGTCCAAGAGGCCCCCAAGACGCCCGAAGATGCCCCCACGAAACCCCTCAGGAGGCCCCCAAGAGGCCCCCAAGCGGCCCCAGGAGGCCCCCAAAATGCCCCCCCAAGCACGCAAGCGAGTGCCAGCGATGCTACAACATGGGCCGGCGGAATGAGCAAAGCGATTGAATAATGTTATTCGTTATCCTTCCTCCATGTTTCTTTTCCTTCATTTTCGCCACACCCTGCGCATTCTCCTCATCCTCCGCAGCTCTTTTTTGCGGAGGGTCCTCCTTGGAGAGCCTCTGGGGGCCTCACACAAGTTGTTTCAGGCTTTCTTAAGGCCTTCTGGAGGCCTCCTGGGCGTATTCTGGGGGCCTCTGGGGGCTTCCTCGGGCCACCCTGCCTCCAACCGCGGTCTCCCTGAACGACCGGGTCACGATTTGGAATGCTTCGGAAGGTGTCTTGGGGCCATCTATGGCGGGGGCTCTCTGCGGGCCATCTTGGACCCGTGTTGTGCCGTTTTGGGGCTCTCTTGGACTGCCCGGAAGCCCTTTCGGATGGTTGTGGAGCGATTTGGGAGCCTCCCAGGCGGCTTCGGACGCCCAGAAGACCGCCGTCTTGGAGCGTCGGGAAGCCGAAAAGAGGAGAACCCCCAAATTCACCAAAAAACAACAGAAAATCAATGATTTGTGCCTCTTGGGGCCTTCTTGGGAGTGCTCTTGGAGGCCTGTTTGAAACCGTGAGGCCTCTTGGGCCATCTGGAGGTCACGTCGGTCACTCTTGGAGCGCTCTTGTGCTGTCTTGGGGGTCTCTGGGACGTCTCCGATGACCCCCATATCGCCTTAGGTGTGCTGGGAAGGCTTGGCAAAACGCCCTGCGAGGCCCGGGGGGCCTCTTCGAGGCCCGTCCAGAGGGTCCCAAAGCCCCAGATCCCGGGAGTCCGGTTTTTTGGGGAGGGGGACCCCTTTCGCGTTCCGCCCGGATTGCAAAAATAAATAAAAGGAATATCCATCTTGGAGGCCCAAAAACAACTCGCATCCCGTCATATGGAGGGCAACCAAGCGCATGGACGGCATGGACGTCGGACTTCCATCTTGAAGGTTTGGGATGCTCTGGCTTCAAGTGCATCCGGCGTCATCGTAAGTTCTCGGAGGCTCTTCCAGCCTTGGGATGCTCTCCAGCGGCTGTGCCTCGCCCGAATCGCTGAACGCGCCCTGGGAGAGATCCCGGGGTGGATTCGAATCCCCTGGGTCTAGGCGTCCTTGCGTCATGGAAAAGTTGAAACGGAAGATCCTTGGTGTGGCACTGTGAGGCGACTGGGCTGCAAAGAGTGCACCCGCCCCCTTCACGATGTTCCCAGAAGAGGTTAGGAAGCAACTCCTGGGCGGCCCTCGCGAGAACGATTAGGGGCGACCAAGCTCGATCGAGGGGCCACTAAGCCAGCTCAGCCCGGAATAACGCCGGGATAAAACCTGATTAAGCCAGATTAAACGGGAAGTAACCGAATTCAACGGGACTACGTCGGATTAGGCCGACCTTCGACCAAGAATATACCATGTACCAACACCGAAGCTGAGTTTGACCTCCCAGGACTTGCACGCTAAAGGAGGAGGAGGAGGAAGAGAAAGAGGAGGAGGAGGAGGAGGAGGAGGAGGGAAGGGGGGCGCCCATGCAGTGGGAGGGCAGGCAGAACCGCCCAGCAAAGAAAAAGCTGTCTCCTTTGTGGTGAGGGACTGGTCCGTCGTGGTGGTCTTGTTCATGGCCTCCATGGCGTGCTTGCAGAGGGTGTCAACGTCGGCGTCCTGGTGCGGTTTCCTCCTCCTCCTCTTCAGCAGAAGCAGCATCAGCATCAGCATCAGCAACATCCTTGCCATCATCATACTCTTTCTCTTCCTCCTTCTCCCGCCCCCTCCTCCTCCCCCCTCCCGCCTCCTCCTCCTCCTCCTCCTCCTCCTCCTCCTCCTCCTCCTCCTCATATTTACTATTATTATCATTACTACTACTACTACTACTACTACTACTACTACTACTACTACTACTACTACTACTATACTACTACTACTACTACCACTGCTACTACTACGACTACGACTACGACTACGACTACTACTACTACTAGTACTACTACTACTACTACTACTACTACTACTAACTACTACTACTACTACTACTACTACTACGACTACTACTACTACTACTACTAACTACTACCACTTTCTTCTACTACTACTACCACTACTACTACTACTACTACTACTACTACTACTACTACTACTAAAAATAATGACTATAATAATACCACTAAGAATAGGAATGATACGAATCACAAAAATATCACGAATATCACTCCTACTACTACTACTACTACTACTACTACTACTACTACTACTACTACTACTACTACTACTACTACTACTACTACTAACTACTACTACTACTACTACTACTACTACTACTACTACTACTACTACTACTACTACTACTACGACTACGACTACTACTACTACTACTGCTACGACTACTACTACTACCACTACTACTACTACTACTATTACTACTACTACTACTACTCCTACTACTATTACTACGGTTACTGCGAGTACTACGACGTCTACTACTACTACTACTACTACTACTACTACTACTACTACACCTACTACTACGAGTAACGCTACTATACCTACTACTACTACTACCACCACTACTACTACTACTACTACTACTACTACTACTAGTACTACTGCTACATCTGCGACTACGACTACTACTACTACTACTATTACTACTACTACTACTACTACTACTACTACTACTACTACTACTACTACTACTCTACTACTACTACTACTACTACTACTACTACTACTACTACTACTACTACTACTACTACTACTACTACTACTACTACTACTACTACTACTACTACTACTACTACTACTACTACTACTACTACTACTACTACTACTACTACTACTACTACTACTACTACTACTACTACTACTACTACTACTACTACTACTACTACTACTACTACTACTACTACTACTACTACTACTACTACTACTACTACTACTACTACTACTACTACTACTACTACTACTACTACTACTACTACTACTACTACTACTACTACTACTACTACTACTACTACTACTACTACTAGGGTCACACCTGACTTATGGCCGGTGAGGTTCGGGTTTGGGTTTGGGCTTGGGTTTGAGTTTGGGTTTGGGTTTCTTTGTTTTTTATTGGAAACCAATTGTTGAAAATTAGTTTGCTATTAAAAACCAATGACGTGGCTTCGTTTTTTTATTGAACACCTATGGTTTTTATGAGTTTTCCATTGTGAACCAATGGTATTTAAAGGGTCTTCCATTGGAAACAAATGGTTTTAATTAGTTTCCCATTGGGAACCAATGGTTTTTGTTAATTTGCTATTGGAAACCAACGGTTGTTTATTAGGTTTCTATTGGAAAACCAATGGTTTTGATTAGTTCCCCATTGGGAACCAATGGTTTTTACGAGTTTGCTATTGGAAACCAATTGTTTGACTTAGTTTTCGATTGAAAGCCAATGGTTTTTGTTGTTTTCTATTGAGGGCAATGGTTTTAATGAGTTTTCCATTCGAAACCAACGGTTTCAATTGGAAACCAACAGTTTCTATTAGTTCTCTATTGGAAACCAATGGTTTATAAGTTTTCTATTGGAAACCAATTGCTTTTATTAGTTTTATATTGGAAACCCATGGTTGTTCTTCGATTTGTATTGGAAACCGATGGTCGTTTATTAGTTTTCTATGGGAAACCAATGGTTTTTTATTAGTTTTCATTGTTTTCTCCCGACTAACGGGTCGCGACGAAAGCGCTTTCCGTCATAGTTCAGATGCGACAGCCCGCGCGCCCCGGCGAAGACCCCGCAGGGCGCCGAGACGAATTGCCCGAGAAGCCCGGCGCCCGCCGCCGCCGCCAGCGCCCGACGCAGCACTACCATCGCATGGGCGGCCGGCAAGAGGTCACGCGTGGCCCTGGCGAGTGCCGAGGCCTGCGAGCAGGTGGCGCGGGGACGCCCGCGCGCGGGATCTCGACCATCGAGTGCCTCTCCGAAGGCGGGGCAAGGGACAGCGTCTCCCCTCCCCTCCCCTGACCTCGCCCCCCTCCCCTTGCTCCCCGCCTCGCTGCTGAAGACAACTGACAGGCGCCACGGGATAGGCTCCATAGGCCAGCCAAGCCGACGTCCTGACTCGCTGCCCGTAAAGATTGGCGCTGCTGGGCAAACGAAATGCGGCATTCCTGGTACCCTGGCGAAGACTCCGCAGGAATCCCTGCGCGCCCATATGGCGGGAAGCAGGCGCCGGGACAAATCGCCCCAAAGCCCTGCGCCCCCGCCGCTGGCACCCGACGCAGCACTACCGCATGGGCGGCCGGCAAGGTCGCGCGTACCCCGGCGATCGCCGAGGCTTGCGAGCAGCGCGCGAGACCTGAATCATCGAGTGCCGATCCGAAGGCGGGGCGAAGGACAGCGCGCGCCCACCTCCCCCCTCTCCCTCCCCAGCCCCCCACCTCGCTCTTCCCCCCCCAGCTACAATGATTGCACCAAAGTCAACTAGGACAATTAGCTGGCGCCCTCGGCTGGAGCACGCAAGTTCTAGGCACTCCATGGGCAGGCCGCGCTGATGACGTGCTAACTCGGAATCCGCAAAAATTACTCGACGCGGGGCTCCCCATATGTGCATCTTATTATCTTGGTCATCTTTCTATGGATATCTGTCAATGAGCGCCTGTGTGCGAGGGCGAACCGCTCGCTCGAGATATTCCCACAGTCTGCAAGTATGAGCGCGAGCCAATCGCGAGTCTGATAGCGACGTGAATAGGAGCGAGCCTGAGTTTGAGGGGGTATGCGCGTGAGTAAATCTGAGCGCGAGTGCGTCTGAGTGCGAGTGGGTCTGATTGTGCTGATTGTGCTGGTGGTGGTTATTCTAGCAGTGGTTGTGCTGGTGATGGTTGCGTTGGTGGTGGTTGTGCTGGTTGTGGTGCGTGCTGGTGATGGTTGCGTTGGTGGTGGTTGTGCTGGTTGTGGTGCCATATTGCGCTGGCGCCTGTGCTGTTGGTGATTGTGCTGTTGGTGATTGTGCTGGTGGTGGTAGTGCTGGTTGTGCTGCTGGTGGTTGTGCTGATAGTGGTTGTGCTGGTTGTGCTGGTAGTGGATGTTCTGGCGGCGGTTGTGCTGGTGGTGGTTGCGCTGGTGTCCTGGTGGTGGTTGCGTTGGTGATGGGTCGTGCTGATGGTGGTCGTCCTGGTGGTGGTTGTGCTGGTGGTGGTTGTACTGGTGGTGGTGACGTATTGCGCTGGCGCTTGTGCTGTTGGTGCTTGTGCTGTTGGTGGTTGTGCGGTTGGAGGGTGTGCTGGTGGTGGTACCATATTGCGCTGGCGCTTGTGCTGTTGGTGATTGTGCTGTTAGTGGTTGTGCTGATGAACTAATGAGCTAAAGACCATTAGTTCATCATGCGATGCTCCGACTTGGCGACAGACGACTAAGACGACGATGATGCATAATAGACAAAGGTTTTTTGTCTCGGCGCCACATGCCAACTGCACCCGCGGCACTGAGCGATCGGATCGAGACACGTCTTGCAGGACCATCCGCGCTTGGCCTTGGGTCTCAGTGGGCTACAGCAGCTACTTCTCTTCCGGCAGGGCCATCCCGACCTAGAAGACTGCAGGGGGCGGGGCCGTCCGCACTGGGCATCAGGCCGAAAAAGTCCGCACTGGATGCAGCTAAGAGGGGGGAGAATTGCAACTTGCGCCCGCTCATGCAATGGATGCCACAAGAGAATTCATGAACACTGAAAACAATATGGGGGCATCCCCTGCTGGGCCGTCCGCACTTGGCTTCGGGCCGCGCTGGGCTACAGCGTCTACTCTTCCTCCGGAAGCCAGAACTTGTACTCCCGAGCAAGCGCAACAGCTTTCTCAACCGTTGAGCTGTCTTTTCCCGTGAATTGCGCCAAGGCCTTCGCGATGGCCTTGGGCGGGCCCTCTTCCAGCAGCCGTCGAGGAGGCGGCCGCAGCAGCAGCATGTCGGCCATCTGCGTAGCGCGGGAGAACATCACATAAAGATTCAGCCACCATGCGTCCTCGTCAGTGCCGCGCTGTCCCTGGGGCTCCAGGCGCGCGCAATCGATGGTCACTGCGCCTCGCAGTGTCTGCCCCTGCGAAGCCGTCGTCGTGAGATAGTAGGCGTGGGTGAGCATGAAGCCGAAGCGTCTCACGCTGTGCGCAGCCGACGACGCCTCCCAGGTGAAGGTGGTCTCCATGAGGGGCATGCAGAAGAGGCCCCGAGCAAGCTTCTCTCGTGCATCCTCGTCGCCAGCGTCGATGTACTTCATGAGCTCCTCCCACGTGGGGGAATGCTTGAAGTCGTCCACCTGCAGCCATATGCCCGCCGGGGAATGGATCGGTCTGAAGATCTCCCCTGGGCGGTTTTTCTTGTAGTCATTGTAGTTTCTCTGGTCCTCCCATTCAAACACGAAGTCTACGATGGTGGCGCGCTGCTCCTGGACGAGGCCGCGGGTTCCATTAAACTTGCCTGCGAAGCGAACTCGCATCCCCTCGTGGGCGGGGAGAACACCGTGGACCCGGCCTGTGCGGTAGATGTTGGCAACGTTGAGCATTCTGGAGTACGTATCCTCCTTGTCATTGGCGGGAATGGTCTGGCACTCGTCGGCTGCCTGCAGGAGGACCAGCGGCACCTCGAGCACGCGGGCGTCGCGCCGTGCTCTCTTGTTCATCCAGCGCGCAAGAGGCCCCCAGTACATGGCCAGGCCGTACCCCTCGAGGAATTTCGGTTCTGCGCGCCGCGGATCCAGCTCGGGCTCCGCATCGGGGTGGCTATCTTTGGCGAAGGTCGCCTCGAACGCCTGCCACACGAGGTCAGGGATCCGCTTGCCCTCTCGCATGCAACAAGGAACTTGATGAGAGGATCGCCGGGCTTGAAGCGCTTGGCCCCGCGGAGTTCGATGACGTTGGTGATCCTTTTGAAGACCCTTAGGGCACTCTGAATCTCAAGGCTGGGCGGCTCCTTGAGCACGCAGTCGCCGTCGACGTCCTTTGCCTTGACGTCCGTCACCAGGCTGAGCTGCGCAGTCGGCGTCAACTGCAGGAAATCGCCCAGGTGGATGACGATGGGGCATCGACCAAAACTGCAATTTGGTTTCATGTAATTGTTCTCCGTGACCGAGTGGGTTTTCGTGCGCCCATACATGGCACGAAAATCGAGCATGTTGTAGTTGGCGGCGGACACCATGCTCACCTCTTCGACGATGAGAACTCTCACGTTCCTCCACAGCTCCTCGAGAGCCTTCGCCATGTCACCCGGGCGCATCTTCGAGTTCACCATTTCCTGAATGCGCATGCCTGCAGCGCTGTGTAGAGTCCGCGCCTTCCACTCGGCGGTAGAGATGTTCTTCGCCTGCGCATTTGACGAGGCCACCACCAACATCGACGGAGAGTCGGGAGTCTCGTTGGGCCAGATGTATTCCACTGCCTCGAACACCAGCTTCTGTACCACATGTGTCTTTCCGGTGCCGCCAGCGCCAAGGAGCAGCAGGCGGGTGGTCTTGCGGGCCTCGGGCGGCAACTCGTTGTCCTCGCTCCAGGCCTTGTCACAGGCCTCCGCGAACAGTGCCATGAAGAGCGTCTGTCGCCGAGTGAGACGCTGGGCGGGAGGCAGCTGGGATATGAGATGCCGAATGAAAGCGCTCGGTGCCTTGTAGGCGCCGTCTTTTGCGAAAGATGCAGTCGGCGGTCTCTGCTTGCCTCTGCGCGTGAGTCGCCCCGGCTCCTCTTCCGCGTGGTCCTCCTCCGCGTTGACGTCGAAGGCTTCTTCCTGTTGTCGCTTCAGGTGGCACTTATCTTCAACTGTCGCGCTCCGGCGGTCCTGACGACTACGCCGCCACACGGCGGCGTCCGCCCTGGACTGCCTCACTCTGGGATGACTCTCATCCACCACTGTCTCAGCGTCCATGGAGGGAAGTTCCAACAGACTCTTCAGGCACGGCGTCGGGCGAGGTCTATGTTCGAAGTTGAGGATCCTCTGCATATCCTCCTCTTTGAAAAAGCCGCGCAATCGTGGGAACACCTCATTTCCGACGGCCTCCGGAGGTGCCTGAGGGCCGTCGTCGTCTGGCTCGCCCTCAGGTCTTCCCGAGCCTCCAGTCGTAGCCAGGATGTAGGACTGGTGAATCTCGGCGTCGGTCTGGCAAGGCCGCTTGTGCTTCTCCACGCGCGCTCTGGCCAATCCTTCGAGGTTAGCCTGAACTCGTCGTGCGATGAGGGCGCTGTACTGAAGAACGGTGGCACGAGGATTCTCGGCGTGAGGATCTACGACGTCCGCGGGCGCAGCAGGGTCGGAGACATCTCTGTTTCTGTTCTCATCAGCTTCCCACATGTCATTGAGCTTGTCGAATATCTCCTGCGTATCCCACAAACTCATGCATTCGCTGCGGCACAGGAATCGCCTCGCCCCTTCGGCGGCGCAGACGCTCTGCTTCTCCGAGTGCGCAAGCCACGAGCGCGTGAACGCCTGGTTCCCATCCTCTGCCGCGCCCTCCACAAAGCACAGCTGACCGAAGCTCTCCGCCTCCCGCTCAGTCCTGGATTTCGGAATCCCTCCCGACGAACTGTCCGGGCTGATGGAGATGTCGCGCAGGAGCAAGGACTTGTACATGGCCGCGGTTTCACTGTCTCGCGTGCTCGGAGGCATCTGGTAACCCTCGAAGAGGGGGACGCGGAACTCGGTCGCGATGCGCTGGAGGTGCGTATTGTGCAATGGGTAATCCTCGTGGAACGGAATGTCGATGAACCGCAGCCACGACTTCGCCGGCTCACCGTCTTTCTTGAACTTCTTCTCGGGTTTCTCGATGCGGTACACCCACATGCTGTATACGTACCAGGGCATGTCCTTCAGCACCGGTTCATCGCCACGCCATAGGTAATCCTCCAGAGGGCTTGTCGTCTCCTTCGGGGGTCGCAACGGCTTGTCGCCGGCGCCCTCGTCGTCGCCCTCCTTCTCGTCTCCGGTATCCTTGTCGACGGGTTCCGAGCAGGTGTCAATGAGAAACTTCTGGGGGAAGTTCAGCTGCGCCTTGGCATCCACTATGCCCATCTTGTTTCTTTCTATTTCGAAAGCCGCCGCCGTCGTTTCGCACCTCGATCCGCGCTGGTCCATCAACAGTTTCTGGTTGTCCACTGTTATCCAGCGCCAGCCCGTCAGCGGGAAAGCATCCACCCCTGCGGTGGGAATCGGAAACGAATAAACATATTACATGGGAGCATATAACTAATATTGCAATTTTATATTGCAAGGAGACAAACGCATTTTCAATTCCTCTCCCCACGCCCTCCTTTTGCGCCCCACCCCCGAGCCTTTTCGGTAATGCTTGATGATTCCTCCGCCGCCCTCCACGATCGCTTTGTGACGCACGCTCGAGCCGTATCGTTTTCGCCACGCATTCGCAGCCTGGAACACGCCCTTCTTCACGTACACAGCCCAGCACCTGTGGCTCGCGAAAGTCATGTGGCCGTAGAGCATCGGGAAAATCATCTCCGGTCCACTCTTCCAATAGCAGCGCCGGTAAGAGGAAGACAGCCGATTGATGGTCTGCATGGTCTGCTTGAACACTGAGTCCCCCCGGTGCGCTCTCTTGGCTGCCGCCTCGCCGACCAGTGGCGCGTCCCTTGCGCGCTTCTTCTCGAGCTCCTCCTGATCCTCTGCTCTCTTCTTCTCCAGGCGCTCAATCCCCTTCCGTAGGTTCTCGAGGACCCCGTCCATCGTGGGGCACTGTTTCGTGGTGTAGCTGTTTACATAGAAGCCAGTGTTGATGGCGTCGGCAAGGGCTGCCGTTGACGCCCGCGTACACTCGCAGTGGAGGCACTCGCAGGCATGGCCATCGGAGTCGTCCGCGGCCTCGCGATGCTCACCGCCACAGTGCCTGCAGGAGAACGAGTTCCCCCCTTGGCTCGCGAAGGCCCGAAGAAAAGCTCGGCGCCAGTCCGCGCGCGAGTTGCCGTCGGCCCACTGCTCGCCGTCGCGGCAATCGTCGCCAACGCTTGTCCTCCATACATAATCTTCGCCATCCCACTCGCATGTTCCCATGTACCCGAACGTCTCCTTGTCGCCTGGCGGCAGGCGAGGGCACGGCTCTTCTTCTTTCTTCCAGAGGCTCTCAGGGAGAACTCGACGTAGGCTCTGGACGTCAAGGTTGCAGCGGATACATGCGGCTCCCGCGTAGTTCGTCTGCACCTCGAAGGGGTGTTCCTGAAGCATCAGCAGCCTGCCCTGCACTCCGTGCTTCGTGGCCTTGACGATGAAGATCTGGTTGCGTAGAGCCTTGCCCCGGCGTCGGAAGGAGATCCCCTCTTTTCGCTGCCCCCAGTCGCCCAGCACCGCTATGTAGTAGAAGCCGTGGCGGCAGATCTGCTGGACTTTCTTCGGGCCCGAGTACTGATGGCACGAATCACCGCAGATGTGGACGAAGATCTCCGCGGCCAAAGACCTCACGTCGTTGGCGAAGGAGGTTCCCCACTCACCCGCGCAGGCATCCTCGGCGGCTGCCGCCTCGGCCGATGGCACCGCGGCGGCGCTCCGTCCAGACTGGCTTTCGGGAGGCTCGCGCTCGGACGTCCTGAGGGAGGCTCGGCGCCTGTGCAACGGACACTTACCGACGGCGAAGTGTGAGATGGGCAACCCGTGGACTGACCGTCGCGGGGCGTCGCCAGCGTCGCCCAGCGAGAAGACTTCCCCGTCGGTCCGCCTGAAGGGAAGGCATGGGCGGCACCACATTTGAGCGTCGTACTCATTCAGCGCCTTGGTCTGCGCGGGCGTGCGATCGTCCTCCTGGATTTTCTCCAACTCTTTCAGCTCGGATTCCCCGTCATAACAACTCAGCCTCTGCTCCGCGGCACTAAAACCCAGCGGCGGAACGTCCGTAGTCTCAAGGTTTCCGAAGCGTCGTTTGATCGAACGCACGGAGCTCTGGCTGATGGACTCCGCGGCGGCCACCGTCGCCTTCATCCAGTTGTAGAGATTCCGCTGGAAGTTCTCCTCCGTGTCTCGACGTGAGAATGCCGACTACCTCGGCCACGGACAGCCGCACGAGCCAGACGAAGATGTGCGGATGCAGAGAACCTCTACCCTGAGCCTCGATCTCTCCTCGGAATGCAAGAACAGGACCAAAGATGCCTGGTGCGCACGCAGACGCCGCGGCGCCGTCGGTGCACCACTCGCGCGGATTCGATCGCCTCGAGCCGCGCCTGCTCTCGATGCATTCTGGGCGCACCCCCAGCACGTGCTGAAAGAACAGGAGCATCATGAGGTGGAAGACGCGGGTCTGCCCGACTGGATCCTTCGCCAAGAGCAGCAGCATCTCCCGGTACCTGGGGTAAGTTCCGTCGACATCCTGCGCGCCGTCCAGATAAAACTTCTGGTTCTGCATGACCAGGAGGCAGGGCTGCTTTCCGCCCGCGAGGTTCGGCGTGCAGAACTCCAGCGGCGGGCCGAAGAGAGTGGTGTAGGCGTTGCCCTCGTGACGGCAGAGCCGACGATGTCCGTCTGCGCCGAGGACGTGCGCCGAGGCCATCTGCATTATGTTCAGCGCGTCGCGGATGATCTGCGGCATGTTTTCATGCTGAGCAAGCGCGTGAATGTCGCCCCCGGCCTTGCCCAGCCTGGCTGCATCCGCCAACTGCTGAGAGGTCAACTTCCGAACCTTCTGCGCCCACGCATTACCTCCGTTCTTCAGAAACGCGCACGTCGACTCCTGCTGTGCCGCCAGCACCCTGATGGACGAAAAGAGGTGCAGCGTAACCCAGTCGCCGGCGAAGCGGTTGATTTCCGCCTGAGACTTGTGGTCGCAAACCCTGAAGGCCCCCGGCTCTTCCCCGGGATATTCCATCTCTTCCCGCACGAGCAGGCAGCACATCCACTCGTTGAGCGTGAGTGGTTTTATTCGGTGAGGATACAGGTTAGCCGCGTCCCCGAAGCGCCAGAGACTCGGCCTCGCCATCGCCCAAATCTTCCAATCCCAGTAGGACAGAGGAGTAGCCCCCTTAGGGTTCACCAAATGTGGAACGGTTCCAGAGCTGGTGCCCGCGCCGTCTGATGGTTCCGTCTGATGCTGCCAATCCTGTTCGCCCATGGCAGTTCTTTGAAGCTCCAACTGCATTTTCCGTTGTTCTTCTTCGCAACTGAGTTTTTCACAAGGGCCCCGGACCTGTCGGCATATGTCTAGGATGCGCTCGCGGCCTGCGTGGTCGACCAGGCCTCCTCCTTCGCCGCCGCAGCCCACGCCCGCCTCCAACGCGGACTCGACCTCGGCGGCCACAGAGCGCTGCGCTGCATTATCAAGCTCCTCGAGCTGTTGCATCAGCGCCGTGAACTGGACGGAGCCGTTGGTTTTGTCGCGGTTGAAGTCCTTCGTCTGCGGTTCGAAAGCCGCGATGTAGCGAGCCCCCCGCGCAGCGGCAATGTATTCGCCCATTCGGTCATCCTCTCCCGCAGCCGCGGCGTCGGCCGGTCCCTCAACCGCGACCTGCCCGGGCGACTCCTCCAGCGGAACTCCGACGACGGCATCAAGGATGACGGGCGGGACACGGGGCGCGCTGTCGTTGGGAACCCATTATGCAACGAGTTCTTTGTTATATGTTCTTGTCGAGTGGACAATGTTTGCATTGGCCAATGCATCTGCCTGAGTATCGAACGCGCGCCTGTCCACCATGAGTTTAGCAATCTTGGAGATGCACTTCCTGGCCTGCTCTTGGTAGTCTCCCGCCGCGGGGTCGGCGACGAAGGCGACGGAGAATGACTCGTGGAGCTTCTCATCTGGCCAATGCTCAAGTGCCCATTTGCAGTCGGCGTTCTGGGAAAGTACCGCCGTGCCGACGATGCCGCTCTGGTGGAAAAGGAAGTCCCAGTTCGCTGTGCTGTCGGAGGTCTTGTTCTTGCTCCCATCTGGGCGCAGCGCGATCTTGGTGGAGACCACGCGCGCGAGGGCCAGGAGCATCTGGTGAGACAGCGGACACTTGTCTGCATCGCGGAAGAGTGGGCCCCACCGGCCAAGCCACGTCGTTCGCGAGAGCATACTTGCAGAGGAACGGGCGCGGGGCTCCGAAAGCCCATTTGCACTCAGAGCAGACGTAAACACTCGCTCTCCCAGCTGCCTGTTCCGGGCTGACGCGACGCTTGTGCAGGAGCACCTTGTACTCGGTCTTCCCGTTCTCTTGCATGGGTTGCTCTCCAGCTCTTCCAGAGGGATCTTCGGCCAACTCTGGCGGTAGACCTCGACGTCCAGCAGCTCCCAGACCGCGCCCGGATCATCCATGAAGCAGTCCTCACCAGCAAGGAATTCGCTGTGGAGCTCCTCCACCCAATGGGACCGGGCGCAGAACACGCACGCCTGCAAGTGGCGTCGTTGCCAGCGCTCTTCTGGGCGCAGGCCCTCCTCGCTCTGCAGCTTCGCTTTCATCTCATCGGTGGGTTTCTCCCAGTCGGTTGCAGATCGGCCGAAGAACTCTACGAAATTGGCGACGATTGCGCGCTACTCCTGGCCGGAGACGACGCGAGGAGCCAGCTGCACGCGCGCCAGATACGCGTTGCGGGACCGCTGCATGCCACCGTGCTCCTTTTCAACGTGGACCTTGAACTCCTCTCGAAATGCAAAATCGGTGCCGCAGCGGCAGAGCATGCACTGCAGTGGGCCGGACGGCTCAGCTCGCGTCTTCCACTGGCGGACACTCACCTCGGAGCACTTGCGGTACTTGCCATAGTTCTCGCAGAAGCGCTTGCACGGGTGGCCCATGTTGCTGTTGTCGTCGGTCCTGGAGTGGTCTCTGTTGTCAGAGTTGCCGCTGTTGCCCCATGCGCGGTGCACTCTCTCCGTGACCTCAGGATCTCGCCCCGACCGATCTAGCCCTGACTGGTCTCGCCCCGACCGATCTAGCCCTGACTGGTCTCGCTTTGACTGGTCTCGCTTTGACTGGTCTCGCTTTGACTGGTCTCGCTCTGATCGGCACTGGTCTCGCCCTGGCCGGCACTGGTCTCGCCCTGAGCGGTCTCGCCCTGAGCGGTCTGGAGGAGGCTGCGCAGGCCGGCTCCTAGCAAGAACGCCTCGACCCGCTCGATCACTCGCCGCAGGCGGCATCAGCTGGTCAGCACTTGGCGTCGCAACTGGCCTTGGCGCCTCCGTCCGGAGCCTCTTCACACCTTGCACTCGCTCCTGCAATTTCTGCACATGTTCTGATTGACCTCGGTCGCGGCGCGCCAAGGACACGACGCACGGGAAGTCCGCGGGCGCCGCGCTGAGCTCCGTCACCATCGCATCGTCGGCCAAATACCACGCGCTTGCGTGCTTGAAGTAGGCGATGTAGTGGCCCGAGCGCATGCCTTGGGCAACATCTGATCCCTCGTGAACATGGACGATGTAGCCCTGCACGTCGTATTCCACGCCCTTCTCGATAGCGCTGTCGAACGTCAGCGTCAGGGGGCCGGAGGGCCATTTCACCTTCGCGTCCACCCAGAATGTTTCACCTCCCTGCTCATAAGTGTTCTCAACGCGCATGACCAACACCTGCGAGCCGACGCGGAGCGCCCCATCATCAGACGCGGCAGTGAGAAGGAAAGCCCGTGCGTCTACGGGCGCGGCTGCCGCGCTGATCAGGGCAACGTCTGGAACTTTGGTGAGAATGAGGTGGTAGTCGGAGATCCCCGGCTCGCTGTCACAGTAGCGGCCCCCCAAGCGGGTGACGTGCAGAAGATGCTTCACGCACTCCGCGGCGTCCTGTTGTATAAAAGGTGCGAAGCTCATCTGCCTTTGCACAAATTTCACGAATGGGCCAATATCAGAGCGTCCCAGAACAGCCATCATCGAATAACCCGACGCGATGTACTTCTCGAAAAGGCCCCGCAGATGTGTCTCAGTAAAACCACAGGGAGATCTCATGGAATACAGATATGAGGCCAACGGTTCACAGTGAAAGATACAGCGCAACACCGCGTTCAGGTAGCACGTGTTCCCCAAATTGTAGAAGCCCGGGAAGTCATTCGACAGGCTGCTAAGGCTGTGCGGTTCAGCCACACGTGAATGCAGCGCCGGTTCCTTCTTGCCGATGGTCGAGGCGTCGCCGCTCGGCCGCTGCCCCTGGGCACTGAGCTTGAGGCGCTGCAGGTGTTCGGCGCGAAGCCCGCGATCGAAGCAGTGCTTCGTCGGCAAATTCGGCGGAAAGAGCAGCCTTTGAATTGTCTTCAGCTCATCCGTCGCCGCGGCCTCCGCGTCGCACCAGTCGCCCGCGACGCCGCAGTCGATGTTATGGAAGGTCCACCGCCAGCGCCCGTCGACATGTTCGACTGCCCCGAGTGCGCCGTCTCCGAGGGCCTGGTCGCCCGGGCCGCTTAGGTATCTTATCATGGGAACCTCGGGCGCCCATGCTCGCCGTCTTTAGTGTCTAGTTAGTGTCGTGTTAGTGTCCGTTGTCGGCCTCGGCAGCCATGGCCCCCAGCCCTCACGCAGGCCCTGGCGTTGCCTCGCGACCGACGCGACGCCCGCGGCGCCTCGGGTACGCCACGGCCCTCCAGGTCGCTGGCGGGGTGTGCTGGGAGTCGCACTGCAGAAAGCTGCAGCGCGATCGACCTTGAACCTGCACAACGATTTACCCCGGATTCTGCTGGAGCCACCGCTGGGGCTGGCAGACTTAGATATAAAATGGTCCGCATGCTTCGGCGTTTCTTCTTTTCCTGCCTCCTCCTCCTCCTCCACCTCCTCCTCCTCCTCCCTGTCCTCCTCCCCCCCCCCTCCTCCTCCTCCTCCTCCTCCTCCACCTCCTCCTCCTCCTCCTCCTCCCTCCTCCTCCTCCTCCCCCCCCTCCTCCTCCTCCTCCTCCACCTCCTCCTCCTCCTCCTCCTCCTCCTCCTCCTCCTCCTCCTCCTCCTCCTCCACTCAGTCCACTCAGGCCGCCTGAGAGGGAGGAAGGAGTCGTAGAGGAGGGCGAGGGGGAGAGCGGGGAGGAGAGGCCACAGGCAAAGGGGAAAGCAGGAGTGACAAAGCTGATTAATGAAGGAGGAAGGACGGGAACATGATGACAGAAATAGCGGGGGGGGGGGGGGACAGGAGGCGATAATCTGCGGCCTTACATTTTGCCGAAGGCGCTGAAACCATTCATCACCATGCGCTGCGACGCTTGCTAGCGACAAAATTGCGCATCTGTCGCAACGCCCTCGCGTCGGCAGGGCTCGCCAGCACCAGAGAGGGGTCGCATTTCATCAGTCTCGAGCGAGTGTAGGATAAACCCAACGCGAATTTAAGATAACCCCAAAATGGCTCAATATTGCTCCAATATGGCCTCAGCACGAATTTAAGATAGCCCCCGAGGCGAACTTCAGAAAGCCCCGAAGCTAAAAATCCAAGATGGCCCCAAGATGGTCTGAAACGACCCCGCCACCCCCCGGGGATTCCAAGTGTGGATGTTTGGATGTGTCGTAAAGCTCTGGTCGTGTAGTTTGGATGTGTCGTAACGATCTGGCTGTGTCGTAACGAGTGTGGTTGTTTGGGTGCGTCGTAGCGCTCTGGCTCCGGGAAGGACGCCTCGCCCCCCCCTTGCTGTACGTCCAAAACCGCCGCGCTGCCCGACGCCGGCAGGCCCGCGCTGCCCCGGCTCAGGCCTACTCCTGCCCGGGCTTCTGCGGCGCCCCAGCCGCGGCGACCTTCCCGAAGAATGATTTCGCCCGCTCCGCCCTTGTCGCAGCATGAGCAGCCTGAGCACCCACGCCTGCTGGCGGGACCGTCGGGGTCGGCTTGGCAGCAGGAGCGTCGTCAAGCAGCGTCAGCATCGACTTGTCGAACTCCTTGGTCTCGCCGACAGCGCCTCCCTCGAGGAACTTGACGACCGGCCGAGCCCCAATCTTGATCACCTCGGCCTTCTTATTGTCGTGCTTGGCCTTGTGGGTTCCGCTCGACGTGAGGACCACGTCGCCGACCACGAGGGCGCGGGCGGGGGGGGGCGCGCCGGCGCCCTGCTGACCTGGCGCCTGCGCGCTGCCGCCCTCGGCCTTCGCCGCGGCGGCGGGGGGCGCGCCGCTGCCGGCCTTGTCCGCGCCTGCGGTGTCCTGCGCCTTGGGTTGCTCGGCCCCTGCCGAGTCGCCGCCGCCCGCGGTCGCCTCCGTGTCGGCGAGAAAGGCTGCACCGGCAGCCGCATCCTCGGCCTTCTTCGCCTCGGTCTCGGCCGCTGCTGCCTCGGCCTTGGCCCGCTCTGCCTCGGCCTCGGCGGCCTTGGCTGCCTTGGCGGCCTCGGCCGTCTTCTTGTCTGCCTCGGCTTTGGCGGCCTCTGCTGCCTCCAAGATCTCAATCTCCGACTTCACGCGCTCGGCGTTGTCGCCGCTCAGTTTCTTCATGTGCGCGCCCAGCATCTTAGACATGTTCTTCAAGCACCGCTTGCCCAGGTCCGCCTTCGCCGACTCGGGCGCCCACTCCATGGGCGGAGACTCAGGCTCCGCCCCCAGCTTGAGGCAGACGAGCTCGCAGTAGACGGCTTTCACCATGGCGTACTCCGGACTGCCCGCGCCCACGCGCGCGTCGCCGAACGTCAGAAGCTTGTTCAAGGCAACGACCAAGTCCTTCGCGATCGGCTGAGCCACGTCCTCGGAGCAGTCCACGCCGCCGCGGGAAATCTGCAGCGCGCCGAGGAGAAACTCCTTCACGCTGGTGCCCTTGAAAACGTTCTCCTTGGAAGCAAACGGCTTTCCGCACAGCGCCTGGTCCTTCGGTGCCCACTCCGCCCAAGCATCGAATCGCTTCGGGTCCTGGAGGAGGTATCTCATCTTCGCTCCGATCGACGCGGGGCCCAGAAGAGCCCTCGCCACCTCCAGGTTGCCCAGTCGATCCTTGGGCACGTCAGCCTGAGCAAGCGAACCGAAATTCCAGGGGGCCAAAGCGCCATGCGTTACGACAGATGCGGCCCCGCAGGTGTCGTAACGCACGGGGCGGGCGTTGGGGGGGCCCTGGGGAGGAGGCCACTCTGGCCTGGGACTTGCGCAACACGTCGATGTCCTTCAGTTTGTCGGAGATCGAGGCGCAGGCGGTCGTCTTGACGCGGTCGAGCTTCGCGAGCCAGCGCTCGCGGACGACCTGCTTGACCAATGCGGACGTCTGCCACGCAGCAATGTCTTCCAATTTCAGCCTCGAGGTGTCCACCTCCTCTGCCGTATCCAGACGAAGATCACCGAGTTGCAGCACCGCGTCACCCAGGGCGTCCACGAAACACGGCAACTCTGCCTTGATGGCCGCGAGGGTCGCGGCGAAGCGAGGGAGCTGCTCGCGCGCGGGCCTGGCAACGAGGTTCTGAACAATGAAACCAAGGAGGCCCTGAGTGAAAGGATCGGCGGCGGCGTGGAACTCCTTCTGCGTGGAGGCCGCGTCGCCGCCTGGATGGGCCGCCTTCCACTCCGCCCACTGGGCGAGGAGGTTGTCCTTGAACTTCCTGCACCAACACTCTGCCGAAGGTGCCATGGGGTCGGGCTGCGAGAAGTTGCCCCCACTGAACGCCTCGTCGATGTCCTTGGCGATGCCCTCCATGGCGTCCTGCAATCTCCTGTGGGCGTCACTCGGCCTCCGAAAAAGCTTGCGTGTCTTTGCCGCCCACTCGTCAGGCGTCTCATTCGCCCGCTTCGAACTCGCGCAGGGGGAAGGGTGGGCGCCGCCGGCCGCGTCGCCGCCGCCGTCGCACTGGGGGGCGGCCTGCGGGCGCGCTGGAGCGGCCGCGGGCTGAGCTGGATCAGGCACCGCCAGCGCGGAGGCAGGCTGCGAAGGAACAGTCGGCTTCCTCTTCCGCTTGGCACCCTCCGCGGCCTTCATCCTCCGGACGCCAGGCCCCAGGTCGTTCCGGGGGACCCAATCGTCGAAAATGTCGCGCGCGGTCGGGCCCACGCTGTCCGGCAATTCCTCGAAGTCTTCTGGCGGAACGAGACACTCCACTGCCTGGGGGCTCCCACGCCACAGATGCGCATTCTTCTTAGGCACGATGAAATATTCGGTGCTCACCTCAACGGACTGGTAGATGGTGTTCTTCCATTCAAGGATTGTCTCGGCGCGGGGGCGGACGTCCTCATTCGGGTCCCCGCCTTGCTTGACGCGCCGGATGGCGCAATACGTGTTGATGTTTTCCTGAGTGGCATCTGGGCCCCCCTTCTTGGCGAACCTCCTCAGGGCCAACTTCGCAACTCCAATCTCGTCTTCGTTGAAGCCTGCCTCGGCGGCCTCCTTCAGCTTGGCTTCCGTGATGTGGACATCCGCCATGCCTGCAGATGATGCGTGCGACGGTTCAGGCGCGGCTGTGACGATGATGGCTATGATGATGAGTGCGATTGCGTCGATGATGGCTATGACGGTGGCTTCTATCATGGCCACGGCGACGGCCATGGCGATGCCTCTCAGGCACGCGCTCGTCTGCCGTGCTGGCTGGGGGGGGCCTTCCAAGGCGGCCCAGCTCCACCCGGCACACGGGCGAGCTTAGCTCGCCCGGCACACCCGCCCAAGCGGACCTTTGCGAAGCTAGGCCGCCGTTGGAAGACCCCCCCCCGCCCCCGCGCGCTGCCAATTACCGAACGCGAAAAACCTCTCCGGACCAGTGGTGGGTCGCCTCAGCCCCTCAGCCGGCTCCAAGCCGATGGCGTTACGACGGGCTGGCCCCCCCTCCCCCTCGGTGGCCGTGGGAAGCCCTGGTTGGTCTGTTATGTTCCTTTGGTCTGCCGTGCTGGTCTGCCGTGCTGGTCTGTCGTGCTCGTCTGCCGCGCTGGTCTGATCCTGTGGTCTGCCGCGCGGCTACGCCGCGCTAATCTTCCGTCTCGGTGAACTCTCGACATCCTGACCCCTGGCAATCGGCAGCGCGTGGGAGCGGGGGGGACCTTCCAAGGCGGCCCAGCTCCACCCGGCACACGGGCGAGCTTAGCTCGCCCGGCACACCCGCCCAAGCGGACCTTCGCGAAGCTAGGCCGCCGTTGGAAGACCACCCCCCCCTCCCGGGCGCTGGTCTGTTATGTTCCTTTGGTCTGCCGTGCTGGTCTGCCGTGCTGGTCTGCCGTGCTGGTCTGCCGTTCAGGCGTGCCGTGGTGGCGTGCCGTGCCGGTCTGCCGTGCCCGTCTGCCGCGCGGGGTTCTGGTCCCAGGCTGCGAACACGTCGGGCGCCCAGCCAGAAATGCACGCGTCGGCGGCCGGGGAGCCCGTTCGGCCCCCCGGCTGCCCCCCGAGCAGCACGGGATAGTAGTAGGGTGCAGTAGGGAGCAGTACGGAGGAGCAAAACGGAGCAGCGCGGAACAGCCCTCGACATCATTTCCTTTCACGCAACATGAAATAATCAGATCGATACTGGTGAGCAAGTCATGTCGTAACGGGGGCGCGGTCTCGTAACCGGCGAGACGACGACGACGACGACGACGACGACGGCGAAAATGAGCCCAACCGGGCACCTACGGGACCCTGCAGGGGCCGCGTCGCAACGGCGACAGTTGCACATTTGGCAGCCCCAGGGCGACGACGACGACGCCGACGGCGACGACGACGACGACGGCGAAAATGAGCCCAACCGGGCACCTACGTGACCCTGCAGGGGCCGTGTCGTAACGGCGGCGTGGTCTCGCAACCGCACTGCTCCTCCGGTCTCCAAGCGCAATCAGAGCGGCGCCCGCCGCCGGCACAAATCTCCAGTCAGGTAGGCGCGCTGCGTCACGACGCCGTCGACCGGAAGGCCGCTCTGGCACAGCCGCGAGTCTCTGCTAGTATGACTTGGGGCAGACCCGCTATGTCCACCACGCCGTCGCCCCACTTGCAAAGATGCCGAACGCCCGTGGCCGTCAGCCACGCGCTACGGCGCACGCCTGTCCCGCATATCGCCAGCGTGCAGCGGTCATCCTCGATGCAAGGCGATATGTTTTTCTGCGGGTACGGCACCTTGCACTGCTTGATGACCCCCCCGCCCCTAAAGGCCGGCGTGGAGTCCGGGAAGCCGAGAGACGCCAGGGCGTCGCGGAACAGATGCGCGTCATCCTCCACGAAGGCGAAGATGGTGTGCCCCCTCCCCGGCCGCTTGGTGTCGAGAACGTGCCTCACGGCAGCGGACCACACCACCTTGATGGGCGGGGCGTGCTCGACGAACACAGTCCCCCACGCCACGTGGGAATTATCCCCGAGGTGGTTGCGCCCGAGATCCGCGTCCCAGTCCCGCAAGCAGTGGTGGAAGGGGATGAAGTCGCAAGGCCTGAAGACGCCAGCGGGCTGGGAGAGCTCGTAGATAGCGTCTCTGCGGAGACCCATGCCGCGAAGCCTGATGTTGGCCTCGCGGAGGTCCCCTTCCCAGACCGTCTGCTGGTCTCCCTGTGTGAAGAATCGGCCCCCGCGCTCCCGCCACACGTCCAACCCGCGAAGGACGAAGTCGTGGTGAACTTGCGCGCCGGCCAGCGTTCCGAATGTGAACTCATACGCCTCCGGTGGAGGAAGCATCTTTTCGCATGGCATCACGGCCGCGTACTCGCGGATCCCGCTAATCTCATCCTCCCTCTGCTGGAACCCTCAGGGGCGCCTCGGGGTGCCGTGAGAGATACGAAACGGTGACTACACTGACACTAAACTGACACAAAACTGACACAAAACTGACACTAAACGACACTAAACTGTCACTAAACGACACTAAACTGACACTAAACGACACTAAACTGACACTAAACGACACTAAACTGACACTAAACGATACTAAACTGACACTAAACGACACTAAACTGACACTAAACGACACTAAATGGCACTAAAGGACAATAAATGACACTAGTTTGTAGTTTAGTGTCCTTTTAGTGTTGTTTAGTGTCCTCCTCCTCCTCCTCCTCCTCCTCCTCTCCCTCCTCCTCCTCCTCCTCCTCCTCCTCCTCCTCCTCCTCCTCCTCCTCCTCCTCCTCCTCCTCCTCCTCCCCCTCCTGACCCCAATCCCTCTTCCTCCTCTTCCCCCTTCCCCCCTTCCTCCTTATCCTCCTCCGCCTGCTCCTCCTCCGCCTCCCGCCTGGCCTTGGTGGGCAAAGTGAAACGGATGAAAGAGGAGAGAACAAACAAAGAAAGACTGGAGAAGATCCTGCGACTGGTACTTGCGAGATGCCCTGGCCAGACCAGCGGAGCTCTGGGATGCAGCGGCGCTAGCTGTGCACGGACGCGTCGTCGTCATCGTCGCCGCTGCCACCGCCGCCGCCACCGCCGCCACCGCCACCACCATCACCACTACCACCACCATCATCATCATCATCATCATCAGCAGCATCATCATAATAATCAGCAGCAGCAACAGCAGCAGCATCATCACCTTCTTCATGTTCATGGACGTATCCTTCTACTCCGCGCCAGGACGGCCTCGCGGCAGCCCAAAATGACCCCGAGACGACCGAGGTGTCACATGCTACAGCTTTTCTGGTCGTTGCTCCAACCGTCGCCGCACAGAGGACGAGACAGAAGAAAGGAAGAAAAACGACGAGAAGGTAGGAGGTAGGGCATGAAGAACGCAGGCGAAGGGGACACCGGGAACCCACGAGGTCGACGCCGAGGACAAGGAGAGGCACACCGACATGACGCGGACGAGCGTTACTGGCACTTCTATTTCCCACAAGAGTGATTTGACTGAGGGGGTCTAACGTTCTTCATAAGGATGTTGGTGGGTTGCCCCTGGCTTCGCCCGGCCGCAAGTTGGTGGGAGGCGAAGCGGTCCGGGAAGGACTCGAAGTTCTTCTCGAGGTAGGTCTTCGCGGAGGTGGAGCGGCCACCTCTTGCCCACCCCTCCCTTGAATACCCTCTCACTTTCTCTGTCGTTCAGTATATAGACATTTCTAAATACTACAAACATACATACATACACACATACATACACCCATGCGTGCATGTATGTATACATACATGCATACAGAGATGCACACATACACATATACATACACATATACATACCCATACCCATACACAAACATACATATATATACACACATACACATACAAAAATACATGCACGTACACAAACACATACACATACGCCGACACCTATACATAGACATACGCATACACATACACATACACATACACTTACACTTACACTTACGATTACAGTTACCTATACATATACAGGTGCACAAACATACACACGCAAATATACATACACACATGTATATACGTATGCATGTACAAATCAATATGCACATGCATGTATAGATGCATAAACATAAACATCTACATTTACCACCATATATATAGGTATACGGACATATACATATACATACAAATACACATACACAATCACATACACATACACATATGCATACACCTACACACACCCATATACACATACATGAATGCATGCATACATACATCAACCCATGCATGCATGCATGTATGCATGCCTACGTACATAAATACATACATACATACATACATACATACATACATACATGCATACATACATACATACATGAATACATACCGATGTCACATACAACTCTCGAAGAGGTAAGAAGGAGTACCCGTTATCTCCCCTCTCTCTCTCTCTCTCTGTCTTTCACCCTCTCCCTCTCTCTATCTCTCTCCATCTCTCTCCCCCCTTCCCCCTCTCACACGCCGCCCCTCGCGTGCACTAACATATCCAGTTCATACGAAGCCGCGCCACGGGTTACAAAAAAAGCTAAAGAGCCGCCCTATGGTAGAGCAGCAATGAAGAGCACCCTGTTAGTGTTAGCAGCACTCAGGCATTCACGGTGGAACGAGACGCGCACGATACAACTCCTGGGCTGTCTTGGAATGCGCTTGTACATTGGGAGGCGGATGTCGCTGAAGTTCGTCTCATGCTGTGTGTTGTTCGCGCCGCGCGAATAAAAGCGGCATCCGTAATCAATACTGGCGTTGCTCAGCGTGTTCACGTGCCCATGGACGACGATTTGTGCGCTACGCTGTTGGTTACAAGTCTGCGTGGCAAAGTTCATCTCCGCATGTTTTGAGAACTTCTGCCTCACAAGGGCGTTACACACACTGGCACTTCGTAGACTGCACACACTGCACGATCGTATGCCTCAAAGAGCACATCGTTCGGTACCAACACGGGAGTCGAGGGACGTCGTGGGCTCAAGGTCCCGGATGACGCAGCGCTCAGCTCCAGCACCTCGCGCGTCCATACCTGAACGCACGAGTCTGCTCCGAGAAGTATGGGCAGTGCCCGCGCGAATGGAAACGCCCTCCCGCGCCTCCGCATACCTGTTCGATCCAGCCCTTCCGAGACGAGAGGTCCAAGCAAGTCCGAGACGGTACGGTGCTCGACTCTTCAGGACCGAGACCTGCGCGCCAAACCCTCAGGTGGCAACATCCGAAACCCTACCCCTACCGATCATCGATTCTCCTGAACCGATGGGAGGCGGGAGTAGGGTTCGACTCTCGCCACGTGTTCGACGAATTCCGAACCCTAACCCCGCCGCCCATCGAGTCGCCTGAATCGGTGATCGGCGAGGGTAGGATTCGGATTTCGCCGCTGGACCCTGGAGCGCTGCTCCCCTGCTGGCTGCCACACGGGCCCCTGGCCTGACTCCAGCAGCTCCGCTCTCGCGGCAGGCAGTCCCCTGCTCGCCGGTCGTTGGACCCAATGGCGCCAACAGCGTGGCGCCACTTCGTCGCAGCCGAGGGCCAGGACTGGCAGAGGCAGGCTAGCTATCCAAAAACAAACGTGGCAAATCCCTTGGGCAGGCCCCGCGCGTGCGCAGGAAGGTGCCGATGAACTCGTGCTCCATAGGAGCCAGCGGGAGGGCAGTTGCCTCCCCCGCCAGCCCCTCTGGTTGGCTCCTGCCCAAGTCGCAGCGGACCCGCACCGACCACATACCTTCGCGTGGTGGATCAGCCATCCGACAGGCCGCGACCCAGAAGCTGCTCAAGCCCTGGGCCTGGGCTGACCGTCAACCACGCACGCGAGATAGTCACGCACTTCTGGGCAGCGGCGAGCTTGCGCACGAAGCACCGTGTAGCAACACCGAGCTCGCGGAAGACTGATGGCGCACCTGTACAGGTAGCAAAGATGAAAGGTGTGGGAAAGTCACACGCGCATGCGCGCGACCATGCCGAACATCTTCCTCGGCGGCCGGCGTGGACAGTGTGAGACTGAACCAACTCTCCGGCTGTACGCGCCACCACCTCGCACGCACAACAGCAGATGACGCGATTCTACCCGTCATCACCCGGATCCTGCCCACCCACCCCGACATCCGACGACATGACTTTTTCTGTGACCACTGTTGTTCATCTCGAGGTCGCTTTCCCCACTCATCGCTTGTTCTGTGAAGCGAATGGATTTGGTGAAAATCCGCAGCCGATTTCGGTAGGCTTCCGGATTCTCGGGCTCCCGATTCCCAGGTTCTCGATTCGGGGTTCCTGGATTCTCGTGTCCCTGGTTGCGGCCAGGTTTCCGGGACCCCTATAGCACTGGCAGGTTCAGCAACACAGGGCAGAGAATAGAAGGTACAGAATAGAGAGAGAGAGTAGAGAACCTGGAGGCGAGAGTAGATAGCGTAGAGTAGAGAGTAAAGAAAACAAGGGACTCAGAAAGTTGAGAGAGCAGAATGGAGAGTAGAGATCAGAAAGCCGAGAGTAGAAAGTAGATAGTACAAGATGAAAAATAAAGGTGGGGGTAGAGAGCAGAGCGTATGGAACATCTGTTAGAGCGCAGAAAGCCGAAGGCAGAGAATGAAAACATTTATATATATATATATATATATAGTACAGGGCAGAGCGTGATGAGGCGAGTGTAGAAAGTAGAGGGTAGAGAGCAGAGAGTGAGGAGCAGCGGGTGGAGAGTACGTAGTGGGCAGGGTACATGGCAGAGAGCAAGCAGCGGAGAATAGATGATACATAATAGAGGGTGCAGAGTACGGAGTAGGAGTTGAGAACAGATATGCCTGTATTCGCCATCATCTGCTCCCGCCCATCATCAGCACGATGGCTTCACAACGATCTCACGAGCGACTGATTGCGGCTTTCTCACGCGAAATCTGTTGGCACTGGACCCCGAAACGGGCTTCCAAATGCCGAAAACTTTGAAAAACGCCCGTCGAGACGTGTAGCGGCTCCTGGAGGTCTGGATCCCCTCGCTGTCCACGCTGCCCGGCCCAGAGCCCGTCAGAGCACCGATGGCCATCGCGAAGTACTCGAAGTAGTTCCCGCTCGGGCAGGTCTCGAAGAGGTGTGGGCCCTCCCCCAACATTGCCGTGACGGGAGCGCGTCCACCCCTCCTGGGCATTCTACTCCTGCACCTCCACCTGCCCCTGCTCCTCTTCCTGCCCCTGCTCACCCTCTTCCTCCTCGCACTCCCCCCTCCATCCCTGCATATTCTTCATCGTCACATCGTTTTCCTCCTCAGCATCAACCCTCGTCCCGTCAGGTTGGCTGAGGAGGAGGAGCTGGCTGACGAGGACATCCGCTACGCCACAACTGTGACGAGGACCCGAAGGAGCAACCTCACCGTGATTATCGACGCGGCCGACGTGAGGTGTGCCGTACGCAGTGGCAGCGGAGGCTTCATGGGCGACACGTCGGAGCCAGAGATTTTCACGCAGAACTACCATCATGCTGTCCATGCGTGGGCGGCCTTCGAGAGAAGACAGAGTGCTGAGAGCATGACCATCACCTTCAGCAAGTTCCCCATGGTGGACGCCAGCATGGGCACGTTCATGGACGATATCTTTAAGTCGCTGCTGGTGCCGAAGGAAATGGTCAACGCAGCGGACATCGTTGCGATGTCCAAGCGGAACGACATGTACCTGGATCAGTCGTTGGCAGCACGGCAGTATGCACAAAATCGGAGCAAGCAGGACGTGGTGCCAGCACTGAGGTCGAGGCAGCTTACTAGACAAGTGATTTTGGGACTACGGCAGTCGGGATGCCAGGCAGGCTATGAGCTGAAGCACCTGGGCGCCTGGTTCAACGCGGTGGGGAGCAACGCGAGCGAGCTGCGGGCACGCTTGCAGGCGCTCAACCGTGGGTGGCTTATGGTGAAGGGATTCTGGAGCTCGAATGCGCCGCGCCGTGTGAAGAGGCTGATGTTCATTTCCCTGGTCAGCGGCGCAGGCTTATCGGGCACCATATCGATGGTCTGGACCCAGAGCGAACACCGTATTATCTGCTCATCTCTGGTGAAAAAATTGCGCTATCTGATGGGTGGTACGGCTACGTCCCACGACGATCAAGTTCGTTCGCTCACGTCTCGGGAGGTGTACCGCTACTGGCAGCTGGTGCCCTTCGCGCTTGAGGCGACGGTCCAGAGGTTGAAGGCTTGGCAGAGTGTGATACGGAACCCTGAGAATCACGAGCACTTATTGTCGGTCTTCTTCGGGACGATGAAGTGGGAGCTGGAGGCGGAGTACGCGTGCCCCCCGTCGCTCGACCCTGCTGGTGGATTGAACGACCATACGGGGACGCACCCGTGGCTGCAGCAATTCAAGAGCGACATGAAGCTGGTCGTGGACCACCCCGAGGCAGAGGACTTTGCTCAGGCCTGGAGGGGCGACATAGAGGAGCTACTCTGGGACAAGGACGTGAACTGCTACTTCTTGGCCTTTGACCCGCGCTCTTTGCGGACGGCCTTCACGGCGACTGTGTGGAGGCCCCCTGACTCGTTGGCGGACTCTGTGCCAGCGGAACTTGACGGAGAAGAAACGTGGGAAAACTTGGAGTCGTCGTTCTCGTGTTCTATTGTCAGGGGGGATGGTACAGTATGTGGGGCTACGTTCAAGACACGAGCAGCACTAATTGCGCACGTCACACAAAGCCAAGGGGAGGGACACGGCGGTAGAAGCATATTCCACATCATCACACCGACGAACGCATGCATCAACTGCGGCACGATATACCAGAATCGCACGGAAGCAGTACGGCACCTTGCACGAGCTTGGCACGCTGGGCGGTGTATACGTAACAACACGGCATACCCGTACACGTTCAAGGACATAAGCGACTACAAGTGCATGGTGTGCGGCATGGAGTGCACGTCGTACGCGTCGTTCCGTAGCCACCTCTGCTCGCACATCCCGCCCACGGAGGTGGGACACCCGATTGCTGTGGTCGAGCCTCGACCACCCAGAGCTCCCCCGCGCGCGCCACGCGGCCGTGAGGCCGCCCCACTGGCTGCTGGCGTCCCCAGGGCTCGTGGATGTGAGCTCCGCTCGCCGGCTGGACTGATTATTGCTGGTGACGACCTGCGGCGACTTCAGGCTGCCCGAGCCGATGGAGGTGGAGAAGCCCCGAGGCCAGTGGCGAGGAGGACGGTCGGCCTCCTCCCAGGCGTCAGCGACTGGTGGGCAGCCGTCCAAGCCCGAAGATCGCAAGAAGCAGAAAGCAGAGGACGGAGCAGGAGTCGCCAGAGGCGCAGCGGGGAGCGAGGGGGCGACGTCGAGGGCGAAGCCTGGCCGTCGAGGAGGTCGCCGCCGTCGAGGCGACAAGGACAGGAAGCTGCAGACCAAGGACAACGGGTTGCGCGAGCTGCTCCTCCTGCTGGCCATGCAGGTCACCCAGCTCACACAGCGGAGCCGCACGCTGTGGGGCATGATGACGAAGACGGTGATCCTGGAGGACAGCTCGAAGGTTGTCAAAGCCATGCAGGAGGAGGCCAAGACGTTCTCGGACAACGCGCAGACGCTGAGGGACAAGGTCAAGCGTCTCAAGGACGAGGCAAAGGCGGCAAAGGACGCGGGAGACAAGCCCGCGGAGCAACAGGCGGACGGGGAGGCCGCGGTAGTACAGGCAGAGCTACGCGGACTCGGCCCCCCTACGGCGACGGTGTTTTGCGCGATGGTCGAGTGCTTGGCAGAGGAAGAGGTGGGGCGCGCCAACAGGCAGACGCTCGAGGCGTGGTCGACGGCTATGGTGGGGGACCCGCCAGACTTCGTGAAGCTCTGCCGCCTCGAGAACTGCTACCAGTCGGACATGATCAAGATAGTGTTCGCGGTCACCGACCAGACCAAGGAGAATGTGCTCGCGGACGCGTTCAAGCAGCTAGGCGCCACCGTCACCTCTGGCTCTGCGCCTGCTGGGTACATGGAAGAAAAACTCTCGGCGTGGATCGACGTACTCAAAGCGTGAGGCCAGACATGGACCACAGCCACCTTCAGCGGCGAGCGCAGACCTTTGCGTCGACACGCTCGGGTCGCTAGGTGTGGCTCTGCTCGTCCTGTGCGAGGACCTGGCCAACGACGTGTGGCCGCGCACAGCGCTGCGCCTTCGAGCGTGGCTGTGCTGCCGCGGCACCAGGGGGAAGATGTAGTGGTGTGAGGGGCCACGGACAGCGGGCAGTAGCATAGTGCGATTTTGATGTGTGCGTAGTGGCCCTCGCCCGCCTGCTTTCTCGCCTCCCTCCCTCTCGCGGTCCCTCGGGCCCTCGTTCGCCCCTCTTCGGTCCCTTTCGGTCGGGCCCCTCGTCGGGTTTCGGTCGGCCCTGCCTTCTGTGTGCGGGCAGTGCGGCGCGTGTAGCGTGCATGTGTCTTCCCAAATTACACTGCACGTGAGTTTGCACAGGCACAGTACTCTCATTACTCATCAGCTGCGTACTACTACTACTACTACTACTACTACTACTACTACTACTACTACTACTACTACTACTACTACTACTACTACTACTACTACTACTACTACTACTACTACTACTACTACTACTACTACTACTACTACTACTACTACTACTACTACTACTTACTACTACTACTACTACTACTACCTCCTCCTCCTCCTACTCCTCCTCTCCTCCTCCTCTCCTCCTCCTCCTCCTCCTCCTCCTCTCCTCCGCCTCCTCCGCCACCTCCGCAACTCCGCCACCTCCTCCTCCCTCCATCCCTCCATCCTCCTCCCTCCCTCCCTCCCTCCCTCCTCCCTCCCTCCTCCTCCTCTCCTCCTCTCCTCTCCTCCTCCTCCTCCTCCTCGCCTCCTCCTCCTCCTCCTCCTCCTCCTCCTCCCCTCCTCCTCCTCCTCCTCCTCCTCCTCCTCCTATCCTCCTCCTCATCCTCCTCCTCCCCTCCTCCTCCTCCTCCTCCTCCTCCTCTCTCCTCCTCCTCCTCCCCTCCTCCTCCTCCCCCTCATCCTCTCCTCTCCTCCTCCTCCCTCCTCCTCCTCCTCCTCCTCCTCCTCCTCTCTCCTCCTCCTCCGTTTCCCTCCCCCCCCAATCAGTCCCACTCCCTTCTCCCTCACTCTTTTCAAAATCGTCATCTTCATTCCCTTCCTCCTGAACCTGCTCCTCTTCCCCCCACCCACCCACCCACCTCAAGCTTCACCTCCTTCGCATGATCCTCCCTGTTCATCTTGCTCCTCCTCATCCCTCCTGCTCCTACCCGCATCGTCGTCATGTTCTTCATCCTCTCCCGCCCATTCCCTACACAAGCCTCCTCTTTATCTCCACTCGGCCTCCTCATCCACCGCGTTTTCTGCCTCCTCCTCCTCCTCCTCCTCCTCCTCCTCCTCCTCCTCCTCCTCCTCCTCCTCCTCCTCCTCCTCCTCCTCCTCCTCTTGCTCCTCCTCCTCCTCCTTCTCCTCCTCCTCCTCCTCCTCGTCTTCCTGCTGTTTCTCTTTCTCCTTCTCCTTATCCTGTTCCTGCTCCTCCTCACGATATTCCTCCTCATCCTCGGCCTCCTCCTCCTCCTGCTCCTCCGCCTCCGCACGCTCCTCACCTCCTGAAGTGGACGCGGAGGCGGATGCGAGAGAGGGAGGGAAGGGAACTGGGGAGTGGGAAATGGAAGAAAGGGGAACGGGAAATGGAAAACGAGAGGGAAAGGGAGAGGGGGGCAGCGCGGAAGGAAACTGGAGAAAGAGAAAGGGAGAAGGGAGGGACAGGGTGAGTCAGAGAGCGGCTTGGCGCTGGGAAACAATCTGACGTTTGTACTGGTTTCGGTGGCTGCGACGCCCAGAGCACTACCGCAGCCTCGCCGGCCAACGCACCCGCGCCCGCTACCGTGTCGACCGCGCAACACGAAACCCCGAAGGCGATCGTGGCGGGCGCCGAGAAGGCACACAACGAGGAAACCGCGGTGGGCAGACGCCACTGGCCGCCAGACACATCTGCGCCCCTCCTGCCTCCTCTTGCGTGGCCTCAACGCAGCCAGGAGCTGGGCAAGCCTGATGCAAGTCTGTGCATATCACGATAGCAGCACTTGTTGGAGAGGGATGGAGGAGGAGGAGAAGGAGGAACGAAGTGGATCTGTATAGTTACCCTCCTCCGATCTCCCGCGGCAGCCCCCTCCTTCTCGTCGACCCCAGCGACGAGCAGGCCGACGCCGTACGGCCGGCCGCCCCCGTGCGTCTTCTGCTGGGACTTGCTGGCCACCTCCCCGCCCTCCCTGACGCTCCGCGGTTCAGAAGAACAACTAGGCGGCCGCTTGTTCTAGAAGAAGAAGAAGAAGAAATTGCATGAGCACAAACTTTCAGAGCTCGGCCCAGATTTCTTGAGTCGGCGCTGTACCCATCTGGAGGCACCTATCCAAGAAATCATTGTGGCTCCGAAAATGCATGCTGATGTAATTACTGATTCCTGATATTCCCCCGTTCCAAGCCTTGGGAGGCCGGGTTTCGGACCTCAGGGCCATCCAAAGAAGGACTCGGGATGAAGAAACTGCCCGTGGGAAGAGGTCGGGAGGTCCAAGGGGGTGCATGCGTCGAGAGAGTCGAGCCGCCAGATGTACGGGCGTCCATCCGACCTTCTGCTCCACATCCTCGTCCTTCCCTCCTTCCTTCCTCCCCGCTCCTCTCGCTACGGCACGCAAACTGTTTCACGAGACCTGATCCTCGTTATTTTGCCGACGCTGTCTGTCGTAACCATTCGGCCTGTCGCCGACACGGCTAGTACCGAATCTAGCTTCTCTTACCATTCCACCTTTCCCTCCTCTTCCTCCCCCGTCCCTCCTCCCATCATCCCTCTCCTGCTGCCCTGGGAGCCCCTCCCCCAGAAGGTGGCCCCCAAGACCCCCAACTGGCTCCAAGAGGCACCAAAAAAAACTCAAGGGCTCACCAAACCCATCGTGAGCCTCGACAAAGCTCCAAGAGGCCGCCACCTAGGCCGCCAGCAGGCCCCGAAGATGCCCCCATAAGCTTCAGGAGGCTTCAAAAATGTCAAATGAGACTCCCCAGAAGCTCCCGAGAATCCCCGAAGACACCCCTCAGCTGCACGAGGTGGGCCTCAAAGAGAGCCCGGATAACATTACAACCCCCCCGTTATCCTCGATATCCTTCTCTTTTCCTCCTTCCTCTCACCGTCGTCGTTATGTATCTAATCCTGTTCCTCAGTCTCCCTCATTCTCCAAATCGCAAGATGAAAAATATTGCATCGACCATCCGCGACGTCACTCCAGGAGCATCTCGCTTTTTGCACGACGCGCAACATATGTCAGCGGTTCCTCCCGAGAAGCGCAGGATCAATGATCCCCGTGCGCGGAGTAGCGACTGCGCGGCGGCCACTCTTCCCCTGCACACCTGGACACCTGAAGGCATCCCATGGGCGCGACGGCGCCCAGGAAGCAGCCAGCAAGCGCCCAGGAAGCTCCGACGATGCTTCAAGACGCCCACCAAGATGCCCACAAGGCCTCACCTCGTCTCGGGGTCGTCGGAACAGTGCAGGCATCTTCGACGATACCACTCTTGCGCGCCGCGCGAGGCATCCAAGAGATTCTCCTCGTCACGGGCCCCGTCGTCGTTCGAGGGACAAGCTCTTCCTCCCGAGTCGGCTTCGACGGTCCTGGGGCCCAACAAAAAGCGCACGGCAGAAGACAGCTAAAAGGTAACCTCCCGTCGTGGTCTCTCGCGACGCGAGGGGGCCCCAGGGGAGGGCGGGGGAGAGGCCGCCGGGGCGTGCGGGCGCACGAGGGGTGGCGCTCCGCCCTCCGGGCGCCAGAACTCGTGCCTGCCCCCCTCCCAGCGGGCCTGGGCCACCAGGCGCCCGACGATCATGGGCGCATCGTAAATGTACCTGGGGACAGGGTGCTACCCCTCGGGTCTGGGCGGCGATAGAGGTTCGAGCCAGAGCCCAGTATCCTCGAAACTGCGTTTTCGGAGCCAAGGTGGCTCCAAATACGTCCTCCGAATCGTCGAGGTCCTCCTGCTACTGATCGGCCTGCACCCTCATCGTCATCACTGTCGTCGTCGTCGTCGTCGTCGTCGTCGTCGTCGTCGTCGTCGTCGTCGTCGTCGTCGTCGTCGTCGTCGTCGTCGTCGTCGTCGTCGTCGTCGTCGTCGTCATATTCGTCGCTGTTGTTGTCCTCTTCTTCCTCCTCCTCCTTCTCCTCCTCCTCCTCCTCGTCCTCCTCCTCTTCCTCCTCCTCCTCCTGCTCGTCATCCCCGCCCTTCCCCCATCCTACTCCACCTCCTCCTCCAGGCCCAGGCGGCGCAAACCAAAAAAATCGCCGCGGATTGCTCTTGGACGCCATCGGCTCATGCGGGGCCATTTCCTGGGCACCAGGTCGCCTGCGGGGCGGTTTCGGGTGCGAAATTGTTGGGTGCGGGCCGTCAGGGGCCCGAGGTCCCAAGTGGGAGTCGAGGTCCCCAGGGGCAGACGTCGCGGCTGCTTCGTGATGTCGGCCTGGGGGACGAGAGAAGTGAAGGACGCTGCCTGGCAGCAAGCGCTGGCCAGAGCCGACGGCGGCCGCGGCTGGAGCAGGCGACGCTGCTCGGACAGCGGTTCTGCGGCGACGCCGACGGCGAGCCGTGCGATTATCGCGGGAAAGGAGCTGCTGCCGGTCGTCGCCCCGACTCTTCCCGTCGCCTTACGACGACGACGACAAGTGCAAACCCAAGACTCATCGACGATGTTTGGAACACACCCTCCCTCCAAACTCCCTCTTCATTGGCCCCTACAAGGATTCATTTCCACTGAGAGGTGCGGCAGGGAGGAATTACCTAGAAGGTGAAGGAATGGAGGAGGAGGAGGAGGAGGAGGAGGAGGAGGAGGAGGAGAATGAGGACAACGAGGACGGGGCGTCTCCTTGCCTGCTTCGGCAGCAAAGGCGAGTGAGGAGTGTCGTCTCCTGTGCGCTCACCGAGCCACTGGTGGCGGTGATGCCAGCCGCAGCTGCGGCCTCGTACCTCTTCGACCAGATTGCCACGCCTCACGTTAGCTGGGCCCAGCACGGGCAGACGCGCTTCGCTGGCGGCTGCGAAACTACCCTGAGATTGTGACGAGCAGGATCAAGAGTCAAAGGAAGCAATGGCCGCGAATGCGCTTGGGCATGAGAAATGCTTCCCGCACATCAGAAGATCCATCGATCACCAAGCCATTACCGTCTGGCGAAGTGGTATCAAAGCACCGGCGGAGAGACCAGGATATTGAAGACCAGGCCAATGTATCCCCCGGGGGCAGAGCGTCGCTAGGCACACGCCGTGACGGTATGCACGGCCAACGCGTACTACTCGTGTGAAAACCAATTCGCTCAGACAAGCACGAGAATTGCTCCTCCAGCGGACAGCAGGAATAGCACGACGAGGGCGATACAAATGGAGCGCAGGATTGCAAGCTCGTCTTTCCAAGCAGCTAGCTACACAGACCCCCCCCCAAAAAAAACGATCATCGGGCGTTCGGTCGGCGGGTACCGCTCAGCGCACGCGGAGCTGCCCGTGACTGCGCCCGGGTGCGACTGGCGGTGTTCAGAAGCGCAGAGGCAGCGCTGCAGCAGAGAGTGAACGGTGTGGGGCGCAGGGATCCGCAGACGGCGGCCACGCACCTCTACCATCCCTGGACGGGGCCATCCTGGGTAATTACCATGATGGCGTATAGACCACCTGGCCGAGGCCAGGAGGGTGCATGCAACAATCCAGGGCCCAGGGCGGCCCTGGCCAGAGATGGTCGACGTGTGCAGCTGCCTTCTGCGGAGGAGGGGGAGGGGGAAGATGCAGAAGAGAGAGGCAAAAGTGGCAGCGGGCTGTCGCACCGATGGTCCAGGTACTCGAGGCGAATGTACTCAGCCTGCCCCCCCCGCAATCGCCCTGCCGCTGCACTGGGAATCTACATGTGAGCGACGAAGAAGATGGAGTCTTCCGCGAAAGGGCACGGCAACCTCACGCGGTGGCTCAGTCAGGTCGGCAACGCAATGCACCACCTGGCGGATTTCGGAAACCCTGAACCTAAAACCGTTTCAATCTCTTGGGGTCAAATCTTTTGATTCCGCCGCAAGGCCTGCTTCCGCCGGCGGAGGCGGCCTCGTTTCCCATCTGCCGACCTTCCGCGGCGGACGAGATGACAATTCCTTATATCCTCCAAGGCGAAGCCCTTTTTGGAACGCACCACGTAGAGACAAGGGCACATCCGCGCGACCTTACGATGGCAGCCTACACGCTAATGTCGCGCAGACGGATGCGCTTCTTCACGCCGCTCACGTGACGTCAGCGACTGGATCACCTGCAGGCCCATCCCAAGCCACCCACCCACGCCACACACGAGATTTTTGGCCTGGCTCCAGCCCCTCGCTCCACCCGAGAGCACACCCCTCGTCCGCTCCAAACCCTGGCGGTACCGTCAGGTGCTGTTGGGATGCTGTCGGGACCTGCTTCGGGCGCCTCCGACCCTGCAAAAGCGGCCGCTCAAGGGCCATTGCAGAGTGACTGTGGTACCGCGTGTCTGCATGTGTCGAATTCGGCATCTGTGCACGGACCGCCAGCTGACACTAGTAGATATGCAACTCACGGGACCACGCCCCGTCGATATTAAGTCACTAAGCTTGTTGAGATCAGACACGTCACTTATGATCAATGGATATACGGCCCGCTCAACTCAACTAAAAATAACATGATGCTAGGCCGGCCGAACCAAGCCAAGACTAGCTCGGCAGAGATGAGATCTGCAGAAACGAAATGCACTAGATCAGCTCAGCTCAGCTTAGCTACGCAAACCCAAGCCAATCTGAATGAAGCTAAGCGTAGACAGCGGTTTTCGGGCGTAGCCCGAATGTGCTTTCCCAACCATCCTGTGGTGTTGGATCCTCGCTTTGAATCCGCAACGCCAGGCGTTCGATCCTCATCCTTCCTCCTCCGCTTCTGCTCTCAGCATGTCTTCTTCGTCATCACCCCTCACACACTTCGTGGCCCCAGAGGAGCTCCACCGAAGGCCGCAGTGGCAGGAATCATGTGCGCCCCCCCCGCCCATCTTGGCACGCCCTCACACGCTTCGCGGCCTCATAAGGGGCTCCACACCGAAGGCCCCAGTGGCTGCGTTCGCTGGGCACACCCGCCGCGCTCAAACACGCTTCTTGACCCCGTGTGGGGGCACAACCGAAGGCCGCAGTGGCAGGAATCACATGCGTCCCCCCGCCCATTTTGGCACACCATTCGCACGCATGTGAGCCCAACAGGAGCTTCACCAAATGCAGCAGTGGCAGGAATCACATGCGCCCCCCCCCCCCGCCATTTTGACACGCCACTCGCACTTTTCGTGGCCACATCTGGAGCTCCACCGACGGCCCCAATGGCAGGAATCACAAGCGTCCCCCCGCCCATGTCACCCTCCCCGCCCGCCCCCCCCCAATCCCTCTTCTCACCTGCCTCGCGATGCTCGCAACTGCATATGGTTGGGTCCTTCGCCGGGTTGATTTGATTTCGGGGAATTTGGACTGGCTTGGTCAGTCGCACCCTCTACCAAACCACCAAATCGTGTTAGTTTCGGCAGGCGGGGGCGCAACCGATGGCGCAATCAGGATCAGGCCGTCTCATTTCGGTAGCTGGGGGCGCAACGCACACCAGGGCGCAGCCTATGGCACAACCGACAGCGGACCGTCTTATGCTCTGCGGCCCAGGGGATGGGGGCAGTCGAGGGCGCAGCCTACGGCGTAACCGATGGCGAGCCGTTGTATGTCCAGCAGCCCAAGGTGCAACCTGAACGTAGCTCGAATCATTGCAGGTCGTTTATGTACGGCAGTCGACGGCGCAACCTATTTCGCAGCCAATGGCAGATGGTTGATGAACGGCAGCCGAGAGCGCAAGCCATGGCGCAACCCATGGCGCGACCAATGGCACAACCCATGGCGCAACCGATGGCGCAACCGATGGATGGCGCACCCAATGGTACAACCCGCGCATGGCACTGTTGATTGCGCCATGGGTTGCGCCATCGGCGCGACCAAACAAATCCGTCAACACTTCCCGAAACAACAAATCCGGCCGAAGACCAAAGTAACAACGCCTATCTGATCATAGTAGATGTGGCTCAAAATCAACCCCAATTTAGCTATCTTCACTGTTACTGTTTGGAATATACGCGCCAGCTTCGGGTCTGTACAGGCAATTTGCGCGCTGCCCGGTCATCCGGAAGGGCACCCTAAACCAACCTGCTCTACGAGGGTCTGCCTTGCATGCTGCATGTATGGCCGTGGTCGACGGATCCAGAAGAGCGTTCGATGTTGGCATATGCAACGTGCAAGCTGTCGGGACGACCGAGAGGGCCCCGACAATATGCTCCGCCAAAGGTCTCGACAAGTTGCTTAACTTCGGGCCTGCAAGAAAATAGTCGATCCTCCTGTGCGA